TTCAGACAGGCCATGAAGAGTTTCTAATTCCTGGTGTGCTGAATGTGAGCACTCCCCTTGAACCCCCCAGTCCTCCTCTATGTCCCCTAGGGGGACCCACACCCCAGCTATGTCCCTGGCCCATGCTGCAGTGAGGACCCTCAGGGCTGCCTGAAGATTGGGGGGTTGGGGGCAGACGGGACACAGAACCTGTGGGCGGAGACAATACCCTAGGAAGCCAGTGGAGGGAGCCTGGAAGGAGGGCTCTCTGGAGGAGGATGGGCCCCGCCTTTCTTACAAATGCCCAAGGGGCCGAGTGGCTCTTTCTGAAAGGCTGGCGGGGTCTCGATGCTGCTGTGGCTCCTCCTTCCAGGTGCTGCAGGCTGGGGAGAGGAAGGACTGCCCTCCCTCCAGGTGTCAGGAGCAAGCTCTAGTTCCCCTTTCCATTCTGGACATGCTCCCCCCCTCCCCCCCCCCCACCCCGTCCCCCAGCCAGGGAGGAGATAGTCCCTGGGGAGGCTTTCCCAGGTGGAGGAAGACTGTGAGGCTCTCACAGGGCTAGCCAAAGAATGGGGCGCCACTGGGCTGAGGGCAGCAGCCATATATGGGGACAGAGCAGGACAGGCGGGCCGTGGAACCTGGAATTCCCGGAGACTGCATGAGCTAGTTCTTCAGGATTGAAAAGCTGAAGATCTGAGTTCTGCTGGACTCTAGGGCCTCCCTTTCTCTCTCCCCAACACACACACCGGCAGGCACACGCTCAGTCTACCCTTCACTCAGAAGCCTCACCCCCTCAGGTGGCTTCCCATTACACTTGAATGAAATCCAAACAGAGCCCTGTATGATGGGCCCTCAGCACCGCTGGTCTCTCCTCGCCCAGCCACACAGCCTTCCTGCTGGTTCAGACACACCAGCTCTTTCCAGCCTCATAGCCTTTGCACTTGCCCCCCGCTCTGCTGGAACTTTTGCCGTATTTTTCCAACAGCCTACTTTTTCTTCAAGTGTCAACTCAAATGTTATATCCTCAGAGCCGCCTTCCCTGAGCTGCCATGCCCCCACGTTCCTCCCTCACTTCACTCTCTCACTTGTTTGCTATCTCCTCTCTGGTAGAATGAAAACAGGGATCTTGTCCATTTTCGCCACTGTGCCCCCAGTGCTTGGAAGCGCCTGGCACATAGCAGAAGCTTAACAAACACTGTTGAAGGGCTGAATGAGGTAGGGGATATTACTGTTGCCATTTGACTGGCCATGATCACCTAGCTGGTTAAGTGGCGGGGTTGGATTCAAAGCCTAGGTTCAGGCTGTTACCTACCTCACTACCTATTTCCGAGGTATAACAGGTCCGCTTTATTAGTGACTTTGATAAGAATAACAGCCAACACTTAAATCACACTGAACAAGTGCCAGCCAGCGTTCCAGACACTTAGATGTCATGCCTTGAGAGCTTTACCTTCAAACTCCTTGGGCTTGGCCCCCAGCCAGAGGCGAGAGGTGCAAACTGTGGGCAGCCTTCCAGCTTCAGGAGATCCCAAGGATAGGGACTTATCTCGTTTTGCCAAGAGGAAGTCCAAGCTGTGCTCTTCGGGCTGCTGTTAATGTACGCTGCTGGAGCAGGCTGAGGCCCCTCTACTTTCCTCTCTCCTTCCCACGACTGGGGCCTTAAAGCTGGCCTGGGGTACCTGGAAATGGGGAGCTTTGGCCCCAGAGCAAGGAGCAGGGGAAGAAAGAAGAGCATGGGGTGGAGATGGCAGGGAGTGGAAGGGGGTGGACAGCACTCAGCCTCCAGGAGTCAGCAGCTCCCACCAGAATCAGAAGCCCTGCGCCTCCCCTGCCTGCTGTCCCGCGGGCTCTCCGTAGGGACCCCCAGCTGGTGGGGAAGATGGTCTTGAAAGAGGGGCCTCAGAGATTTTGTGCCACTCTTGGGGAAGCAAGAAGCTCAGCCCAAGTGACTGATAATGACAGCAGCAAATAATGATTCCTCACTCACCTATACAAGGCACTGTTCTAAATGCCTTAACTTTCACATAACCACCTTGTGGTACTCAATTAGCTCCATTTTTCAGATAAGTGAGCCACAGAAAGGTTAAGGACTAACTAAAGGTCACGTGAGTAGGAAGAGGAGGAGTTAAGATACAAACCCAGACATTGTGGCCCCATGTACCCTTAGTCACTGCAGAAACACTTGGGTCTTTCCCCTGTGGGTCCTCAGGCTCTGGCCAGCTGGGTCCAGCCAGGCTGAGATGAGGTAATGCCAGGGAACCAGAGGTCTCTGGTTTCTCCCATCCCTGGAGTCACAATGTCACCAGGCCAGGTACACCAGGCCCAAGAAAGTGGGCTCTTGGGCACTCGCAGGAAAGAATTCATGCGACAGCCACAGAATAAAGTACCAAACAGTTTTATTAAGCAAGACTTAGGTAAGGGAAAGGGCCAGGATAGAGAGAGCCTGGGCTGTCTCGAAAAGCAGAGCAGCCTCAAGCTGGGTCAAAGGGGATTCTTTAAGGGGCTCTGGATGAGGGAAGTGGTCACTGCGGCAGGGGATTGGACCTCGGGATGCGTGATCAGTTGGCTGACTGGCTCTGGAGCTGTATGTTCAGTTTGTGGTCCCTCTGCTGAGTGGTTTGCAGCAGGCATGGACGGGCTGGTGACCTGCTCCATGTCACAGGATGTATGGCCAACTATAGGCAGATACTTCCTGTGTATGCAGATTTGTTTAACCTAGGGCCCCCACCTAGCCCACCAAGATGCCTATCTCAGCAAGGCCGAGCAGAGGCCGGCTCTTGGGTGGTGGTCACTGCTGCCTGTGGGGAAAAGGCTTGCTCCACTTGCTTGAACCTTGCTTATCCCTTCTCCATTCAGCCTCAAGGCTATCCTGGCCGGGAGCCCTCCAGACAACACAGTGGACCTGTCAGGCATCCCACTGACCTCCCGAGACCTGGAGCGGGTGACCAGCTACCTGCAGCGCTGTGGGGAGCAGGTGGATAGCGTGGAACTGGGCTTCACAGGCCTAACGGACGACATGGTCTTGCAGCTGCTGCCAGCACTCAGCACACTGCCGCGCCTCACTACACTAGCGCTCAATGGCAACCGGTTGACCCGGGCCCTGCTGCGTGACCTCACTGACACCCTTAAGGACCCCAGCAAATTCCCCAGTGTCACGTGGATCGACCTGGGCAACAATGTGGACATCTTCTCATTGCCCCAGCCCTTCCTCCTCAGCCTGCGCAAGCGGTCCCCGAAGCAGGGCCACCTACCCACCATCCTAGAGCTGGGGGAGGGCCCAGGCTGTGGGGAGGAGGGCCGGGATGGCACAGAGGGCCAAGAGGACCCTGGAGGGGGCTCTCTGGCCCCTGCCAAAGACTATGAGGACAGGGAGACTGTAGGCGCAGCTCAGACATGATACATAAGTGGGGGACCTCACCTGAGAGCCCCTGTGGGGTAGGATGGGTGAAGCAGGCTAGGGGTTCCTACCATGGGGCTCAGGCTACCACTACCACCCAGAATTGGCCTGGGCAGCCCCACCCATGGGAAGCCAGACTGTAGCATCTGGGAAAGGAGGACTGTAGTATTTCTCTTTGGTCCTCTCCATCTCCCTTGTCAACCCCATTATCTGCCTTTTGGCTCCTGAGAGATCATCCCTGGCTCAAGAGGCCCTCAGCCTCCCCAGACTTGTGGGCAGTGTACAGTTTGGAGATGCTGGAAGCTTGAGGAAATGTGAATGCTAAGAGCTTTCCCCCAGAAAAGGTGTAGTTCAGGCCCTACAACCACCCCAGGATTTCCAAATTCTGCATTCCATTTCTTCTATTCAGAGCAGCAAACTTTAGCCAGATGCTAAATCTGCCCCTGCTCCAGGCAGGTTTTCCAACCTTAACCCTAACTCCTGGCTGAAGGTTGGAGTAGGGGACTGGCTGCCAGAGACCCCAGGAGCCTATTCCCCATCAGGACTGAAGGCTATCTACCTCCTCCTTGTGGAGCCCCAAGCCGTTTGCAACCCATTTCCCAGCCTCAGCTTTCATTTGAGGCCCAGCCCTCAACCTGATTCCAGGAGCCTGCCCAAGGGACCAGCCACCCATATACCCTTTAATATCTAGAGCATCCTAGGGTGCCTACACACAGGCACACGCGTAAAGTCCCACACCATCCCCCACAAACACTACCAGGCCTTCACGAGGGTTCCAGTATTGCTATAGTGCAGACCGGAGTGAAACTTGCTTCCCTTTTTAGGACCCTTTTCCCAGAAAAGTTCTTCTCATGGAGTCCCGTAAGTAATCCTTTGTATTCTGAGCACATTTCCAAAAACCTACTATGGTAGACATACAAACCCAGGACCATGGAGATGAAGAGAGCATTTCTCCCAACTCTTGGCAGACCTTGTGCCTCCAAGTGAGACTGCTGGGAGAAAGGGATGTAAACTGGGGGTTCCCAAAGGAGTAAGCAAGTTTTCACCCTTCCTTCCCCTTGCCCAAGGCCTACCAATTACAAAAAACAAAATCCCTTCCAGCCACAGTAAACCCTAGGCCCAAATATCCTAGACTCAAGTACAGACAGCAAGTCCAGGGAGACTGGAAACCAATCTTTCTTGAGGTAGAGAAAATTGGCCTGGGTGCCCAAAGCCAGTGTACCAGACCCCTCGGGCAAACAGCAGATGGCTAGAGAAGGGCACACAGCGTGACAGACCTCTAGTCTCATGCCAGGTAAGTGGGATCCCAACCCAACGAGGCAGCAAAGTGGGGATTAGGTGAAGAGCCACACTATGGGACCTTGGCTGCTACTGCCAGAGGGTTTGGCTGGGCAGGTGTGGCACTTCAGGAAGTAGAGAAAGGCCATGTGAAGGGACAGAGACTGGAATCAAGTATGTGGATGCCTTACATGCTTTGGAATGCCCTCAAAGTCTAAAGGTGTTACAGAGGGAGAACAGCTTAGACTGACCAGAGGGAAGCTGGCAAGTACTAATACTCGGACTGTTAGTATCTGACAGTAGTCAAATTTAACTTTTTCTTCAAATACACGTTTTTAAGAACCAATATCAAAGACCATCCTTTATTACAGTATTAGTTTATAGTAATTGCATGGAAATATTAATTTCAGGAAGAAGTTCCCAGCTTAAGAATTCAGACCCTCACCCAACATAATTTATACAGTATTCAAAAACATAGAAGCTCCTTCTGTGCAAGGGACAATACTAGAAAACTCATGAACTTAACACCAAAAGCGCCTATCGTAGAAAAAGGTTGCTGAATACATTTCTTGGCTCTCCTGTTGATAAGAATGGCCTGATACTCAACACAAGGTGAGCATGTTTCTACAACAAATGCTTTTAGCGTCCAAATGCACGGTGGCCACTGGTCCTTGGGACTTTCAATTCTGCCCCTGCCGCATCATGGCTGACCATCATCAGGGAAAACAGCCTGCAAAGAAACTGAATGTCAATCTCAGTTTCTATTCCCAACAGTCATTCACAGCATAAAAGATATCTTCAGAAAACCGTAGGTTCACCACCACACAATCTGCCGGTAATTCCAGCTATTTTGGGTGATTTCATCATTTGATATCCTTTTCTGTGAATCTATTTTTAACAAAACTAGCTGCTTATTCATGGGGTGGGGGGGATAGGGTCATTGTCCAGATCAAAGCTTACCTTTTTCTGGGGCTGAGCTGCTGCTGCCACTGGCTTTAAAACTCTGCACTGCTAATCACCACTCTTCAGCACTCAAAACCTGGGGGAATGAATTAAGGCACCCCAGACAGACAACAGATGCCAAAGGCGTAAGAGTCAGTTCTGATAACAGCCTCAACCACAAATTTACAAACTTAAGTCCATCCTAACAAGAGTCCTTAAAAACTTTTTGGAGGTGCTTTTTGGTAAACTAAGCCATAAGCGTTCAAGTCCTAACTGGCTTCTTTGGGTATTGTAACCTCCATTCAATCACATTATTTTAAGTATCACAAACCTACAGCTACAATTTTCAAGGACGAGGAAAACTCCCAGCTCAGCAGATAGGCAATTTGCTCACGATTATACAGTCATGAGGTAAAAAGCAACTCCTGCATTCGCCTTGCACTCTGTTCCACTGCCACCATGAACCAAAAGCAGTGTCTCTGGGATATTGTCAATAAAGGTCAAGGACTACACTGATACAAGGTATTCGGTTAACCAGACCAAACTGCCAATGTCTAACCTAACAGTGGTTTCACATGATTCAACTCAACAGGTAGGCGTACTCCATCACTAACTTCTGCACAGACCAAAGCTTACCTCATAGCAGGCCATCGCGCCTCACTCCAATACACAGCTGTTGGTGATCAGTGTCAACCCTTCACTAATTTGCAACCTGGGTGAATACAAAAATTAAGGGTCAGTTCAGACCAACTTATTTTTGCGCACCAGCAACTGGTGAGGATTTGTTGACTGCAGTCAGCCAGGAATTGTTATCGTCAGTTATCGCTTCTGACGGCACTTCCTATTAGTGATTTCATCAGAGCAGTCAAGCACCTCACCACTCCCCAGCAGTACCGCTCCAGAGGCCTGGACATTTCTCGGAATTAAACTAAAATCGCCTTAAAAGCAGCCAGGAGACATTTTAACGAAGTTTGTTTCTGAATATAGCTGCGGCTTAAGTACAGTTCTAGGTTTGCAGCAGCCATCCCCAATCTCTATTTGAGATTCCACCCTGTGCAATGAGGTGGTGTATAATGATGTTAAATGCATAAAAACTGCAAGTTTAAATTAGGCAATTTCAGCGCACTTACGGCAACAAAATCGATACAATTAAATTACGTATTAAACCCTACCTAGACTAAGAACTTACCCCAGGGTGCAATGCTGCTCCCATTCATAGTCAGCAGTGGGTTTGCCATCTGAAACACGAAGGAATGATGCGTTTTAGGGCAGATTCTGGCAGTCACGTTCAAGTGAACAGTCGAGATCTCAACAGACTGCGGTCAGACAGGCATGAAAGTCGTCAGCTATCGCATCTGACGGCACTTCCTAATAGCAGTATCATCAGGACAGTCAAGCAAGTCTTCCTCGTGGGCCCAGTACAACCGCCCCCTCGCGCAGCGTCCTGGGTGCGTGCAGGCAGACCCCCACTCACCCAGTTCTCTCGGGGTTGCCCACTCCCCGCGGAAGGCCTGGGGAACAGAGGCCCGGCCTTTCCAGACCTCGGCTCCCGAGAGGGCAGCAGCCCCTCCGAAAACACACGTGGTCCATGAGGCCCGGCGCAGCGCGGCCCTGCGAGACGCTCGACCCCGGCCACGGCGCCGCGAGACGCGCCGTTACAGAGTCGCCCTCGCTCTCCAAGCGAGCTTCCCGAAAACATCTTTCTAGAAACTAGAAAGACTAACTCATTGGCCTCGCCACCAGCCACTAGCGCCCGACACAGACACGCTACCTCTAACACAACCGTAACAGAAAGGTCGCCTCAGCTGCGTCCCAGGCCCTTAAGGGCCTGGAACATTCCATTCCTCATAGAAGGGGGGTGGTTCTGGCAAAGACTCACGGGAACCTCCAGCACATTTAACGGACAGACTCCGCCTCACCACCCAAGGACACCCCCTCCTTTAGAGCCCATGGTCTCTTCCACAGCCCCGGGAATTCTGGGTCACGAGGCGCCTGGCGAGGTCCAGGGCGCCTGCGCGGGCCTTCGGCGTGGCTGCCGGGATGTTGTCCCGCCCCCGCTGCTCAGTCCTGTGGTCTTGAGCAAATTGGTTGGCGTTTGTGAGCTTCCGATTGCTCATCTGGTACGTGGGGATATCGGCACCACGGGAGGTTGTTGTGAGGATCCCATGATATAACACTTGAAACCGTGCAGAGCTTGCCGCGCAGTAAGCATTCATAAATAGCAGCTAGCCCTAATTCTAAGAAGCGTTGCCAGTCTATTCTCTCCCCACCACTATTTCAAGATATCCACGGAGCCTCTCACACCTCTGCCGCGCTTACAGCTCTCCTTCACTCCTCTAGAATGGCCGCTAAGGAGGGAGCAGACGTCTTATCTGGATCCACTTCCGTCCTCCCCTCCCCTTCTCTCCTGATTCCTCAGGACTCCTCCCTCCGTGCCCCTATCTCACCAGGCACGGAAACGTCTCCTCTGCGAATGTTTTCCTTTCAGCATATGAACATGCTCAGATCTTTCCCACTGAAAAAACATTCAATCCATGAGTACACATTTTATAAACGCACATTACACCCAGGGAGACCAATTCATTTTGGCTGGAGAAAACTGGAAAAGGTCTAGTGAGACAACTTTTGAGCTGGTCTTAGAATTTGAAGGATTTTAACGGGGGCGGGGATCTAGTAAGAGGCAAATCAAGGGGTCAGATACATATGAGGTCCATAAGTCTCCGTGAAGAATTTAATGAAAGTGAGAAGGAGAGCATGGAAGGCAGCAGGGGTGTTGGGGAAGAAGTGTCTGGAACGCTTGGGTAAAACCGTGGAGGGCTGGAGATGCCAGCTAGGGCATCCTGGAGGCACTAGGGGAACGTCTTAAGCCTTCAGTGCACAGGGGTAACATATTTCCTGTCTGTCTTAGGAAGGACCCTCTGGCTGCCCTGCAGAGAACAGCTTGGAGCGGTGGGACTGAGCGGGCAGCCCGGAAGGGAGAGAAAGCAACAATGCAGAGCCTGAACTAAGCCGAGGAGCTTTGAGAGACATCTTGGAGGTGGCTTTAAAGGGTGTCTGGAAGCTGTGGAAGAGGGAGGAGAGATGGCTGTGCTTGCTGGTGTCCACCACCATACTTCTGCCATGACAGCGAGCACAGCAACTCGGCCAGCTGCCTGTACCCAGGAAGAGGACAGCCTGAGGCTAGGGGCGGCAGATGAGGGTCTTCTTTGCCCAGATGAGGGCAGTAGGGGCCCAGCCCCAGACTCCAACCTGTGTTCACAGGGACATGCAGCCGGCCCAAGATGTCAACCGGCCCAAGGGCCCAGTATCTTTGCTCAACTATTGTTTCCAGGAGAATTAGTCATGAGAAAATATTTATTTATAGTTGCCACCGAAATTCCCCAGATTCAGCAGGTAGGGCTGGAAAAATTCCCTGGCTCTGTCCTGCCGGCCTGCTGGTGTGTTTGGGCCATCAGTGGGACTCCAGGAGCTGGAGGGGCAGCTGATCTCCCTCCGAGGCACTCTCCTCCCCTGGTTGGGAGGTCAGGGCTGGATTCTTCATGGTACCTGTAAACGGGATGAAGAGCACTGTGGCTTGGCCCTTGGGGTGTGTCTCCAGGAGGCAGGCGCCAGGGAAGCAGGAGGAGGCCACAGCCATGAAAGCACATCACACCTTGTGGACAGCAGGTGAACCTGGAGTCCCCCGCAGTCCCTCTCCCTGCCTCCCTCCCTCCACAGGCGTTTCCTGAACAGTTGCCATGTGCCAGTCAGGGGCCTCCTTCCAGGAGCTTAAAGTCACTGGAGGTGACAGGCTTTTGTGTTAGAAACCAGAACATCTGAGACTTGCTGAAGAGCCAGAGGGAAGTGAGAGTTAGGTGCTCAGGGAGCTCAGAGGAGAGAGGGACCCAGCCTCTAGAGGAGGTGGCGGATTTGGAGCAGGAAGGGCACTTCCAACAGAGACGAGCCAAGGAAAGCAAAGAACAGGAGCACTGTAGAGGGACCGGCTGTCACGTGGAGGGAGGTGTGGGAATGGGGTGGACAAGAGCTTTGGGCCTTGACCTCATGCTGAGGAGTGTGGCCTTCCAGGCATTGGAAGGCGTTGTATAGTGTGGGCCGTGTGTGATTTTTGTCTACCTTAGAGGGACTGGAGTGATAAGCGTGGAGCAGAAAGACTTGTCTGAAGGTCTGGGTACAGGCTGAGCCGCCATGCAGTGGTGCAGAAGTGGGAGAAACGAGGGGCAGGGCAGAGGGGTGAGTGGCTGCCTGGGAGGTCCCGAGGATACTCAGCACCAAGTTGGGGGTGTGGGCAGAGACCCTCAAGGCCTCCTGCCTGGGTGAGAAGGGCATGGGATTACACACATGTTATCTGGTAGGGCAGCCCCATGGCTGTTCCCATTGGGGATGTCCAGTTAGAGGCCCCAGCAGGCAGTGGGGTATGGGGTTGGGGTGTGGAATGCTTGGGGCAAGGTGACTTTCAGAGTCTTGGCATTGAAGTGATGGAGTGGAAGGACTCTGTTGAAGGGAGACACAAAGAGAGGGTAGGCAGGAAACCTATCGGTTTGTGAGGGCCAAGGTCAGAGCCCCGGCAGCATGGGAAACCAGCAGGCTTCAGAGCAGGCCAGAGGAGCCTCCCTACACAGGGGGTCCTAGGTGGTTGTTGTGGGGAGACGTCAGGGCCACAAGCAGAAGCAAGTGGAGTCTGTCGGAAGAGAATGAGAAAGGAGAGGAAGAGAGCACCAGAGACTTGAGGTGAGACTCCTGAAGGTTCCAGAAAGGGCATGCTGTGGAGAGGGCTAATCCTTGGCACATGCTTCTGGGTGGGACAAGGGAGTCAGTCTTGGTGGGAGGCAGCAGGGTGGAGAGAGGAGGGGCTGTGGCCACACTAGAATGGAGACGATGCAGGCCGTGAGGTGCAGAAAGGCGTAGGAAGTGGCTTCTCCTCCGAGGTGTGGGGCCTGGGGGCTCATGTAGTACAGGGCAAAGGCTGGGCTGGAGGAGGCACTGACAGCCTGGGAAGTTTTCTGGGTGACTGACTGCCCGAAAGCAGACCAGGGAAGAGGCAAGGGTGGAAGTAAAAGGAGAGGAGCACCATCTTAAAGGGGGGTGGTCCCTTTAAATGAGTGGAACTGAGGTGTGGCCATGGAGGAGATCCTGCCTGACTCCCCGCAGCTGTGTGGCCAAGCAGACGCACACGCATGTGCACACGCACACTCTCCAGGGCAGGGCTACTCACCAGCACCGCTTGACCCTGATGGCTCTTCACACACTGTAGGCAGCGTCTGCTCCCATGCAGCCCAGTTCACTTCCTCCACCCTGAGGGCAACAGAGCAGCTCTGAGGCTCCAGGAAGCCAACGGTACAGCCTGCTGTGCCCCAGAAGAGGGGCCCAGCCCCCTAGGGGGGTGGACACAGGGACAGCAAGGAGGATGGGGCTTCTCTGCCCTTCTCCACAGGACGCTGGGCCAGCCACCATCCCACCTGAGCCCTGTTCTTGCAGCTACCAGACTGTTGCCCCCTGGGCCAGGTGAATGCTGAGTTGCCCTGGACATCTAGAGAAGAGTTTAGATCAAGTGTGTCTTTGTGTTCCTGGGTTCTGGGGCCCTTTGGTGGCTGCCCCACATGCCTGAGTCTCTCCTCTCCTTGCTCAACTGCCATCTCAGGAAAGTGTGTTTCTGGCTGTGCTTTAGTCACCAGGTTCTCCTCCCATGGAGAGTTTGTTCTCCGGGGAAGGGCTCTAGCCTCCATGGTCAGCTTGGGGGAGTTGGGAGGGCAGAGCAGACCAGCAAGGGCAAGGCTAGTTTGCTGTAACCTGAGGGTCTCTCGAGCTTCTTGGCCTCCTAACTGTACCCTATTTCAGACCAGACCTGGTAGTAGGGACCACCAGGCAGGGACCTTCACTTTAAGCCAGTGGGACAGGCAGATGGCCAGAGAGCCAGAGTGACAGGCAGTGGTAGCCCCAGACCTATGAAGTCCAGCATCCCTGACCTCACCTGCCCAGGGCGGAGTCCCCGGGTGCTCCTAGGCCCTGCCTTTCCCACCAGACCTTGCTCCTGGTAGCCACCCCTGGCTTTCAGGAGAGGAAGGCTGGCCTGTACCAGGCAGACTCTAGGGATCCCTGGGTCAGCAAGGCCCCTAGGCTGCCCTCCCCTGCCCCCGTCACTCACCTGAAGCACCAGCGCTCGTCAGGGCTACCGTCCGGCCTGGTGCCAACGGTCAGCAACACACCTGCTCGCTGCTTCTTCCTCCTGCACCACCAGTAGCCTTTCTCCATCTCCAGGACAGAGATGGCTTTCTGGGGACAAAGGACACATCAGACAGAACAGCCAGGAAGATGCACCACAGCACCTTACAGTATAACCCAAAGTCTGCTAAGCACATAGACTTGAATCTGGCTCCAACATTTGATTAGTGGTACAATGCCTTCAACCCCTCTGACCTCAGTTTCCCGCTTATAGATGGATGGTTGCTGAGAAGTCAGCACGTCACGAGTGCTCAACAGTTACTTGCTATTACATGGGTATGGGTTCCAGAGTTCCACACCCCGAGGTACAGAACTTCATTTGCTCTACCCCACACACATATGTGCCTGCCCACTGGCACACGAGCAAGTTAGGTGGGACACAGAAATTTCCAGGGGAGGACATGGAGGCTCAGAGAAAGTAAGGGCCTTGCCCAAGGTCAGCAGTGACTTGGTGACACAGTCCAGCCTCCTGGGCAAGACTCTCCTTGCACCAACTGCCCAGACTCACACCCAGCCCTCCTCCAGTTGAGAAGCAGCTACTGCTTCTACCATAGGCACGTGTCACATCAGCCCCTCTGCTCTCCCAGCTCTCAGACTGGGCCAGCCCCAGGATCGCACATCCTGCCTGCCTCGCCACCAAACTGACCCCATTTAACATACACTCAACACAGAATGGGAGCTGCGTGAGGGCAAGGACTTTGTCTTGCTCTCTGTTATGTATTTAGCACCTACAGCTGAGCCTAGCCCCATAGTAGACACTCAGGAAATACTTACTGATAATGACAATGATGGTTACTAACACACTGAGCCCACTATGGGCTAGGCACTGTCCTAAGAGCTTTAGATCTATGAGCTCATTCGATCCTCACATCAACCCTATGGAGGAAGGAATGGCTGAGGGAGACCTCAGTAAGGGCTGGGACCTGCTTGGGAGGCCCAGCTCAGCCGGGACCTGCACGCTCCTCACTGGGCCCAGAACTTGGGGAAGGAGAGGGGAGCCTCCCTGTGACACCTGCAGCTTCCAGATGCTCCAGCTGTCGGTGGCCACGCTGTTGACGGTCTCGCTCATGAGGGCGATGAGCATGTTGAGCAGCAGGATGTAGGTGAGCAGCACGTAGGCCAGCAGGAGCAGCAGCACCACCCCACGGAAGCGCAGCTGGTCCTGGAAGGCCAGCTCGCCCATGCCAATGGTGAATTTGAAGAGCTCCAAGGAGGCGTCCAGGATGCCCCTGTATGGGGCCGTGCTGCCCTCCTCATCATGCTGTCCCGCCCCGGACTGCACTGCCTCTGTGACATTGGGGCCTGTGGGGACCTGGGGAACCCAGGCCTCCCGGCTGAGGCTCACCAGGGCTGTGGGAGGGAGGAAGGGGAGTCCTCAGCCTGAGGAGGCCTGCAGGTAGCTTTGAGGGTGTACAGGGTGGGCAAGGGGTGGGTGGGGCCAAAGGGGAGTCTTTACCTACAGCGAAGCCGAAAAGGAAGACTAAGTAGACCAGAAGGAAGCGGAGCAGGTCCCGCAGGATGACCTAGAACACACGTGACCAGGAGCCAGGTGGGTGGCTGGGCCACTGGGCATGATGCCAGACCCCTGCCTCGCCCTGAGCATGGTTCCCATGTACACACCCCCCCACACACAAACATGTGCAGACACAGCCCCTGTGGAGCCACACTGAGCAGACGAGTCTTTAAAAAATCTACGTCAGATCACCTTATTTTCCTGCTTAAAACCCTCCAAGGTCAGAAATTAAACACAGAATTGCCATATGATCCAGCAACTCCATGTCTGGGTATATACCCAAAAGATTGAAAGCAGGGACTCAAAGGGATATTTGTACACCCATGTTCATAGCAGCATTATTCACAGTAGCCAGAAGGTGGAAAAAACCCAAGTGTCCATCAATGGATGAATGGATAAACAAAATGTGGTATATACATACAATGGAATATTATTCAGCCTTGAAAAGGAAGGGAATGCTGAGACATGCTACAACATGGATGAACCTTGAGGACATTATGCTGAGTGAAATGAGCTAGACATAAAGGGACAAACACTGTATGATTCACTTATGTGAGGTATCTAGAGGTGTCAGATTCACAGAGACAGAAAGTAGAACGGTGGGTGCCAGGGGCTAGGGGGAGGAGGATGGGGAGTTAGTGTTGAGTGGGGACAGAATTTCAGTTTGGGAAGATGAAAAAGCTCTGCAGATGGATGGTGGTGATGGTTGCACAACAATGTGAATACACGTGATGTCACTGAACTGTGCACTTAAAAATGGTTAAAATGGTAAATTTTGTTACATATATTTTACCACAAGTTAAAACAAAAAAGAAAGGAAAAATCCTTCAGGGGCCTCAGGACCCCTCCCCATTACCAACAAAGCCCCCGGCCCCTCCCTTCCCCCCAGCTTCCCCTCCCTCACCCTCGCCGGCCTTCTCACTCTGGCCCAAGCACTCCCGGCTTTTTCTGGCTCCTGGCCTTTGCTGTTCCCTTTCCCTCAAATGTTCCCTTTGCCTTCTTCCTTGAGTCTAGGTGGCTGAATCATTCTTTCAGGTGTCAAACGCCACCTCTCCAGAGAGGCCTCCCACACCATCCTATCTAAAGCACCCTCTACCCCAGTCATTCTCCATCACACTCTCGTATGGATTTCCTCCATAGAATTTAGCAGTCTGTAAGGTTCTCATTTGTTAGTATTTTCATTTCATCCACTAGAATGTCAGCTTCAGGAGAACGAAGACTTGTCTATTTTGTTAGTGAACAAATAGTGTATTCCCAACACTTAGAACAGGGCCTGGCCCATACATAGTGCATACTTCCTAAACATTTGTTGAATAAATAAATGAATGCAGACACATACATATGCCCAGATGTCCCAGGGCATAGGCATACGGATGAGCTTATGTGCATAGTCTCTGCTCCTCTGGTGTGCAAGGATGCACATGCTCCCATGGGGACACTTGCAAACATACATATGTGCATGTGTTTGCTTGCCTGTGCAGAGCACAGATCCCTGAGAGCAGGTGTCTACACACCCATACTCCTGCTTACATTCAGCAGCTGTGGGTGCATGGTGCACAGGCAGATGTGCTCATGTTCTCCTCTACCCAGATTAGCTGTGGAGGAAGGCACTTGCCTGCTGAGGCCAAAAGGAGTCCCACTGGAGTGTGGTGTCCAGCCCTGCCCAGTCTGACTGCACGAGGGCCACCCTGTCTCTCACCTTCTGGATCATGACACTGTAGATGCCTGTGTGCTGCAAGCCGCGTGTATAGTAAAGCAGGTTCAGCCAGCCCAGCACCAGCGAGGACACAAGCAGGGGCAGGTACCACTCGACGGCCAGGAAACACAGCACCTGGGACAGCACTGTGAGCAGGGCCTGGACCAGGCTGTGGGGGGCAGGCCAGGGTCAGCTTATAGGCCACTTGGCAAGGCCCCCTAGCCTCCACTGGCCAGTGCTGACCACCACCACCTCTCCCACACAGTCTGATGGATGAGAAGTTCTCTGTTTATGTGGGGCTGGACCCAGTCAGGTCCTGACCTCCATCTTGGGCAGGGTATTTAACTCCTGTGGGCCTCAGTTCCCTTGCCTATAAAATGGGGTGACGGTAGTAACGCCTGACTCATAGAGCGATAATGAGGATTCACTGACACATGACATATAGAGTTCATGCTCCATTGGTGCATAGCAAGGGCTCAGTAAATGTCACTCTCACCACCATGATCTACAAGGATAGGAGCATGGACAGCCAAGTCTGGACAGCCCCAGACTCCTGAGTCTGGCCTGCACTCTGGCCCTAGGCACCAGGAACTCCCTGGTCCCAGGCCCTCGCCTGCAAAGGCAGCCTGGTGCCCTCTGCCACACCTGCCTCTCCCAGGCTTGAGACGGAGAGGAAGAGAAAGGTCTCACGTACAAGAGAATTTCAAAGTAGCTGTCCATGAATGAGATCCAGATGAACAGACGGCGCCTCCAGAAGTACCACAGCTGCAGGGGAAGGAGGGGGACAGGGGTGGAAAACTTGCTCTCCAGGCAAAACTCGGCCCTGCTGCCTTCAAGAACTAGGCCCCGGCCCCCTGTCACGCTCCCTGCCTGCTGGCCTGGCCATGTGGAAGCCTGGCCAGGACCACCTGGGGGACTCAGGCAGCAGCTCTGACTTTTGAGGGGAGCTCATGAATCCTGCTGATAGCTGAGAAAGCTTTGGACCTTGCTTGCAAAAAGTGCAGCCCCCTAGAGACACCCAGACAATGCCAGAGGCCTCCTGTGGATCCAAACGAAGAACTCATGCACTACATGTGGTGACCGGAGAGCTTTTTTCCCTCCCAGGGACCACCCTGTACTCCAGTCAACCTGGATTTGGTGCCCGAGTTCTGCCCACTCTGAGAGTCTCAATGTCACAGTCCGCAGCCTAACACATTTTCAACTCAAGAGGCCCTGCTGCAGGGGTGGGACTGAGACCTACCTGCCCCCACCCGTCTGTGCTCCCCAAGTGAGGAATGCCCCAGCCAAGGGACCTGGGGCCGGGGCTTCCAGCTTGATTCCCAGGGAGCGGAGCTGGCACTGGCAAGGAGTCAAAGGAGCCATGTGCTACTCCATGGGTACCCCAGAAAGCACAGCAGGGAGGGTATCCAGCCCCAGAAGGCAAGGCCAGAGCCCACGGCCCTCAACTGCCCTGAGGCTGGAGGGGGTGGGACTGGGTATGGGATTCAGTTTCCCCATAAATGAAGAGATGATGGTTAACTCACTCTAAGGCTCCTTGTAGCAGAATTCTAGGTTTGCTTCTGGGTGGGGTGGGGGGATGAGAGGAGCCCTCACCTGGCCCACGAGGAGGTAGACCCCCCCAAGCAGGATCAGGATGTGGCCCAGGAGCAGCATGGAGTTTCCGGCTGTCACTTTCATGGGGGAGAAGGCCTGCTGAAGAGACACTCGGGTAGGACCTGGGTCGCCTCCCAACAGTTCCCCCTTAGAGAGAGAGAGCCGAGGGCCCATTCTAAGCCTGAGCTGTGGAAAGGCCACTCCGAGCAGCAGAGGGAACACGAGCTCCAGGGCAGGATTCCAGTCTATTGAGAGGCATGCTGTGTAGTGGTTGTGAGCGTGGGGTCTGGTGCCTGGCTGCCTGGGTTCAGATCTCATCTCCACCACTTACAGCCTGTGCGACCCTGGATAAGATACTTAACGTCTGTGTGCCTCTCTTCCCTCAACTGTAAACTGGGGATCATAACAGTTCATCACCTCAGAGGGTTTTTGTGAGCATTAATTAAATAAATTAACACATCAATCACTTAGAATACTTTCTCACATATGGTGTGTTCTCAGTAAGTATTAACTATTATTGTTGTTATTACAGTGCTGGCTTCCACACTACCACCAGCTGTGTAAGAGTTGGGCATGTCCCTCAGGCAGTCAAAGTCTCCTGTTACCATTTGCAAGGGGGAGGTGGTAATCCCTGCCCCATCTTCCTCCAGGACGCCTCCCCCAGGATGCGCCCTCTCCCCGGGCTTACCTTCTCCAGGGCAGGCTGGTGGTAGGCAACAGCAGTGAAGATGAACATGTAGATCAAGTAACACACGAAGTTGAAGAAGAACCTGGGGATAAGCAGGTCCCATTTCGCCTGCAGCAGTTTGTTCAGCGGCTCCAAAACCACCATTCGGTGTCGGTGCTGGGGTAGGATGTGAGAGCCAGGGGGACATTCAACAAGTAGTTATGGGGGTCCTTTCATGCCAGGCTCAATGCAAGTGCTGAAGGGAAAGGACGGGGAGCCCCCAACGGCCCCTCCCCACCCGCCTCCACCCCATGGCTATGGAGTGACCAGGGCCTCTCCCTCCAGTCCAGAGCGGGTGCTGGTCGACAGGCTCTCAGTGGTTGCCACCAGGACCCTGGCATTATCCTCTTGTCGGGTGGGACTGGTGTGTAGAATGAGTGTGGGCCCAGCGGCTGGGGCCACACACCCCCGGCACAGGAACAGGGCAGGTGTTGGCCAGCAGACAACCCAGAACTATGGGTCTTGCAGGGAGTTCTGCCAGGCCCCTATGCATATCCCCACCCTGGCAGGCTCACCGGGCTTCTGCAATGAAAGGCGATGATCTCCAGCACTGAGTTCTCCTCCCAGCTGTCCACAGAGGCCAGGTCATACAGAGACACCCGGACAGGCCCGTAGCACCACTCAGTGAACTTGCGGGAAAGGGGCTGGCATGGCCCCGAGAACTCCCGCTGCAGGATGTGTCTGAAAATCTGCAGGGCGGGCTACATGAGCTTGCTCTGCTTGGCCACCTCCCAGCACTGACTGGAAGGCTGGGACACACTCAGTACCCTGCAGAGCTGCCCAGTGTCTGCAGAGCTGTGGCAGACACGTGCACACGCCCCGTACATGTTGGCCCCTGCATGTATAAACTCTTACATACATCCACACACACTCAGGCACAGTGTAGACATTCCCTCTCATATATGCCCAGACCTGCCGGCCAGCTTGGCTCTCCCTTCCCCACTCATGCTCCGAGGCCTCTTGCCTGGATTCCTCACGTGGCAGAGAGACCCCCAGCCCAGGGGTCCTTAAGGCCCCTTGAGATCAGAGGTTACTAGCTACACATGCATGTGTACTTCAGTGGTCAGAGTCCAGAGCTTTCAAGAGACTAGAAAGGGTCCCTAACTTGAACAGATTAAGAAGCAATTTGGTTCCACAAATGAGGAATTGGGGGACGGCAGGGCCAGATTGGGGACTGGCTTGCATAGGCCACACAGCCATGCCTCTAGACAACAAAGGAGGTTCCCACAGCCCAGGAAACTTGGAGGGCAGGAATAAAATAGTAAGACTTCTATTTATGTTTATTTTTATCTTAACATTTTCAAATCCCTGTGTTCTAAGCATGGGAGCCTGTGTAAACTGCACAGGTTGCACACCCATGAGGCCCCTCTGATAATAAGGATCAAACCAAGTGGGAAGCCATTTGGAAAAAAGTAGAGCCGGATCATGCTTACTCTTTGTACCAAAATAACTTCCAGATAAACCAAACTTTTAGACATTAAAAATGAAACTGCAGGGGCTGGCCCTGTGGCCGAGTGGTTAAGTTCGCCCACTGTGCTGCAGGCAGCCCAGTGTTTCATTGGTTTGAATCCTGGGCGCGGACATGGCACTGCTCATCAAACCACGCTGAGGCAGCGTCCCACATGCCACAACTAGAAGGACCTACAACGAAGAATATACAACTATGTACTGGGGGGCTTTGGGGAGAAAAAGGAAAAAAATAAAATCTTTAAAAAAAAAATGAAACTGCAAAGGTCTGGAAGAAAATATAGATATGGAATATATGTGTGTGTGTGTATACATACATACAAACATATAGTTATATATGTATATATATAACTTTGTAGAAGAAATTATGCAATAGCAAAACCAAGGAACCCTAAAGGAAAAGATAATTACACTTGTATACATAAAAATGTAAAAATTCTATATGGCAAAAAATACCAAAAAAAATGTCTTTTAATGTTGAACTGGGAGGAAATTTTGCAACTGTTCTAGTACACAAAATGCTAATATGTTCATTATAAAGAGCACTTACCAATCAATATGAAGAAAATGTAAGAGCAAATCTAACAGCAAAATAGGCAAAGGATAGGAAAAGACTATCTCCTAATAAAGAAACCCCGTGACTTAAAAAAAAGAAACCCTTGTATTTTATAATGTAACATATTAGTTTAGCAGTTCATATATAATTTATCAATAAACACACATATATTAGAGGTGCATGCTGAAAATGTTCTTACCAATTGGAATGTTCAATTGAAAAGTGGGGAGACCACTAATGTAGACCACCACCCCAGGCTCTTTCTGCAGAAATCTCAGGGTGAGTCCTGCTGGTTCCTGGAGGGGGGGGGGCACCTGCTCACCTCGATTTTGCCCTCCTTTGCGGCCAGCTTCAGGGGCGTGAGGCCCTGCAGGTTGGGGATGTCCTCGAGCTGCACAGCAGGGCAGAGGCGGGCCCCAGCGCGGAGGAGCCCGTCGTACATCCAGATCACCAGGGCGCTGTTCTCCTCCGAGTTGTCTGCGATCATCACCAAGGCATGCAGGGCCGTGTTGCCCAGTGAGTCGGCGGCCTGCAGGTTGGCGGGCTGGTGCGGGTTTTCCAGGAGGTAGGTCACGACATCCCACTGCTTGGTGCACGCGGCCAGAGACAGGGGCAGCTCACCTGGGGGCCGAGGGGGCAGCTTGGGCCTCAAGCCTCCCAGCTTCCATGGGCCTACTCCTCGTGCCCCTTGGACAGAAGGCCAGGCCTCCTCGAAGCAGGTCAGGCACCCACAGGCGAGGGTGGAACACTTGCTCGGGGTCCCAGGCCCCACCTAGGGCAGCTATGCCTTCGCCTGTGAGCTCTGGTAAAGGCAGCCGTCTCTGGCTCTGACCCAAAGGAGAGGGGACCAAAGCTCCTTACTGTCTAAGGGAGCAGACAGGGGCCAGCTACCAGGGTCCATGTCTCCCCTGCCTCTTTCTCTTTTCTTCAACAGAACCCAGGCCCACTGCCACCTGACATAAACACCCCTTTTTCAGGCCTTGTCTGGTCTAGTCTTGTCACATGCCAGTGCTAGCAGCCATTCCCCAGCCCTGGTCTGGGCTTGGGTGGGTGGTGACCCTCCTTGGCTAGACCAAGGATAAAACACCTCTTAAGACAAACTGCTTTTGCAGGCAGCCTAGTGGTTAGAAGCACAGGCATCAGGGTCAGACAGACCTGGATTTAAGAGCCAGCTCTGCTGTCCCTTAACCATGTGACCTTGGTCAAGGTCTTACCCCCTCAATTTATCCAAGAGAGGCTCCTCACCGAAATAGAAGCAAGTCCCTTGGCTCTTTTTCTGGAAGAAGTGGCCACAGGCCCGGGCATGCACATCTGCCCCATTTTCCACCAGGAGCTTCACACACTGCAAGCTCCTCTTCTCGATGGCAATGTGCAGGGCACTGTGGCCTCGGTAGTACTCATCTGAGCACTGGGCGTTGACCAGGGGCCGGGGATTTCCAGAGTCCTTGTCAATCTGCAGCAGTGGCAGGATGCAGGCGTTGGCCCCGTCTCGAAGGTTCAGCACGGCCTTCATCAGGCACGTCTTCCCCGTAGAGCCCTCTGTGGGAGAAGGGGAGGGGAAAGGGTACTGGGGTGCTCAGGCCTGGAGTGGCTAGGCTGCCCGCCGGGCTATACAGTGAGCCCAGGCTCCAAAGTACCCCTTGGGAGGATAAAGAAAGATTGCCAAACACGACTGGTGGGAGCACAGCTATGCTGCAGGGTAGTAAGGCTCCAGCCAACCAGCATTGAAATACCAACAGGTATGACTACAATTTCTGCCCTAGACATTAAGTTTCCAAGACATAATTCATCATATGTGCAACACTGTCTATATGAGAGCATTTGGAGCAGTATTTGTTAATTCGCTCCATCATTTAATGGCTCTGTGTCCTCAGGCAAGTCACTCGGCCTCTCTTAACCTCAGTTTTCCTCACTGTTAAATGGGACTATTCCGGGGTTATTGTAGGGATCAAATGCTTGGTACAAAGAGGGCCTGGCACACTGTATGTTGAGGCCAAAAACTACAAACAATGTAAATGGCCAAAAGGAATGAGTTAACTAAATTTTGGTAAGTCCACACAATGGAAAACTCTGCAGTGGGTGAAGTGACTGAATTAGAGGTCTAATAGTGAAATGGAAAGTGTCACAAGATGTAGTAAGTGGGAAAAAAAGCACATTACAAATTAGTACAAATGACATGACCTCATTTACATAAATATATACCTAATGTAAACAGTTTGAAAAGATGTATCCCAAATTATTAACAAGGGTCCAGGATAACAGACTGTTTTTACTGCCAGCTTTATATATTTCATTACTATTCGAATCTTCTAGAATGTACAAATGTTATTTTTCTAACTGGCCCAAACAATTAAGATCTAAATTTAGATTTTGGGCAAAGAGTGCTCTGAGATGAGTAAAGTATATGGTATGTGTATTACATCTCAACAATGCTGTTATTTTAAAAAAAAGAAAAAGAAGAAGAAGAATGCATTGAGGACGCGCACAAGCATCCATCTGGCCGCTGCACTGGGCTGGGGGTGGCAGAGGTGGGCCGGGATCTTGTGGGGTGGCTGGAAGCGGGAGGCATAGGCACTACCGAAAGGGGGCAGAAGGTCTGCTAAGAACACTCCACCCCTTGGCTCTTGGCCACAGTCAAGGCTGCTCAGTGGCCCAGTCTGAGCACAGGCAGCAGGATGCCGCGGCTCTGGCCCACAGGGCCGCCTACCTGTGTACTCTGAGTCCGTGAGGTACTTGCTGGTCCGGCGCAGATATTCTGGTAGCCCAGCCAGGTCCTCGGGGACACCCCGGGAGACCACGCTGAAGAGCCGGTCACGGTCAAAGCGGTTTGGGTCTGGCTGGCTGTAGGGGATGTGGTTAGTAACTGATGGCTGTAGAAGAGCCACAGGCCCCCTGGAAGCCCCCATCCCAGGAAGCCCTTTCAGGGAGTCGTGTGAGCGCCGTGCACCCCCAGGCTCGGGAGCCCTGTGAGAAACTTTCTGAGGGACTCTGCCTTCCCAGAACTGACTGAGGAGACTCCAAGTGCTCAGAGCCCCAGGAGGAGGAGGAGGAGCCTGTCCAGGGTACTAGTCCACAGCATCCCCACAACTCCCGGCATCGAAGATGTGTCTCAGCATCAGGTACTGATCATTTGTTAAGTGCCTTGATGATCTCGCAACAGGCTCATGATCTCACAAGGTCTATTTCAGCGCAGGAACTAGCAATGGCTCTTGAGCTGGGGTCCAGGTCAGGATGGGGCTACAGGAGGTGCCCACAGACTGTTAGGGGCGGTATGCAACGCTGGCTTTGATGAAGGAATCAAGAAAAGCCCCTCATTCTCTCAGAAGCCATCTAATAATGGAATATCTGCACCTTCGACCCTCACTTCAGCCCTGGGGTCAAGAGTTACTATTTTCTCCATTAGACAAACAAGGAGATAAAGTAACTTGCTGAAAGTCACACACTGCAGAACTGGGGATCTCATGGGGGCTAACTCCAGACCCTGGCTCCTAACCCTCAAAGAGATTCTAGGCTGGGTAATCAGAGGTTTCTCAGAAACACACGGACCCAGCGCTGAAAGCTATCAGCTGCCGCCGCTCACCAGTTTTACTGAGAAGTCACACTTCCGGGAAAGGCACCAGAAGGGGTCTTGTAGCTCTTCAGAATCTAGCAGGGTGTGGTGATCGGGAAGAGGGGGGGTACGGGATAGCCGCTCCTGGGCATGTTGTTATTCACAAAGGCCAGCTCACCCCTGGGGCAGGGTCCTGGCACCATGACCAGCAGATATGAAGGGACAGACAAATGGGGTGCTATTTGACTCTGAGTACCCTCAGTTCCCAGCTTCACATCTGCCGTGAAACAGGCCAACCAAGTAAGGGTTGGTGACACTCTGATGAGAGGGGAGATTGTAGGGATCAGTCATGTTTGAAGCCGTATCCTCATGACTGCTGGGGCCAGGCACTACTTCCTCAATACCAGGAAGCTGCGTGTCTGCCTGGCCTGGCCAGAAGCACCATCATCCGCCCAGCAGACCACGTGGCCACAACCCAACCGAGAGCTCTGCGGCTGACTAGGGAGCCCTGTGGGCAGTCCAGCCAGGAGAAGTGGTCATTTGGACAAAGCACTTCCTGTTGCAGGGTGGCATCATGCTTCTGGCGTAGGAAAGCCCAACAGAGGCACAGATTGAAGCACTGAAGGGCATTGAGGGGCCCATTCTGCCAGTCAGGCAGGCTACCCAGCTCCCAGAAGCTTCACACACATCCTCTCCTGCCCTGGTCTGAATCTGCCAGCAGTCCTCCAGCACAAACAGTACAGGGGGCTCTGGGCTAGGAGGCCAAGGCTGGCAGCCGTCTCTCAGGTGTGAGGAGGGAGGAAGGGGCTTCCCTGGCAGAGTCCCGCCTGGCTCACAGAGATTCTTCAGCCTCATATGTCAGACCTCACGCTCGGGGATGCCAGGTGCACCCCTACACACACCTGCAGGACCGGATGTCAGACTCACGGTGACAGTGGGATCACAGAGACTGAACTGGTAGAGATCACAGGAAAATTAAAGAGAAGATGACTCCCAGCAGAAGTGCCCCATCCTCAGTCCCCTGAGTCCACATCCCTCGGGAAACAAATTCAGCCCTGGAACAGAAGCCAGGAGCACCCGGGACATTTCCAGATGTCCCTGACTCTCTCCTTGGACTAGATGTGGATCCTGCTACTATCTGCCGCAGAGACCTGTGACAGGGGTGTGGGCTGGGGCACAAACAAGGGGGTTGCAAGGGTCAGTTGAGTACTTGGAGCTGGACCATGTCCCTGTGAAGAAGAACATGAGCTCAGAAAGCAGAAGGCCAAGAATGGGAAGGTTCCAGAAGGAGCAACCCCAGAGAGCAGAGCAGAGTTCAGCCTATCGGGCCCAGGAGCCATCAGAGCCAGACTGAGGACCCCGTAGGCTATGGGGAAGGGGCACTAAGGCTGGGCTGGGCCACTGAGTCTGACCAGGAATGCTCCACTGGAGGCAAGAGGTCCCAGGGCACCACCACCATTTGCTGCCTCACCTGGCACCTGCTCCCTTTCGGTACTTGAGGTTCACTTTGATCTGAGGGGAGAAGTTCCGGTCCTCGCCCTGGAATGGTGACTCCATGGGGGGTGGCCCATCCCCATGGCCCAATTTTCCTTTGTCCACCTTAGCATCCTCTTCTTGGACTTCATCCGATGTCTCAAGCCTGAAATCCAGAGGGCTGGGGGGCGAGGTCATCCTAACGGGTGGAGGCTGCTCTGTTCAGCTCCAAACTCTGTGGAAGCAGAGGTGTCAGAGGCTCCTCCTTCCTTCCAGACTCAGGCTGGGATGGGAGGTCTGACTGGGGCCTGCAAAAAGAGAGGTTTAGAAGCTGAGAAGAAGTAGACCCACCCACCTTGCAGAGCTCAGCCCAGCAGGAGGGGGAGCAAGAGAAGGGAGCAAGGCAGTGGGTGAGGAGAGGGCAGAAGGCTCCTGGCATGAGGATGACAGCATGCCCTGGAACAGGGAGGAACAGGGATCCAACGAGTCTGCTCTCTGACATTGTCCCACAGGAAGGGCCATGATAGTCCCTGACTTTCCTTTTGGGACTTCCTGATATCTGAGAGGCCACAGCCCCTAGTCCAGGGTAACAAACATTTGTGTTAACAGCACAACCCTTTCTCTACACAGCATCTCGCCCAGCGGCCAATATTCACAACAGATAAAAGTGCAGTTGGGGGCGGGGCTCTCAATCTCTGACCACAGAGGAGTGCACTCTAGGGGAAACTGTTGGAAAACCCCTGGTCTATCAAACTCCTCATTTTGGTGCCAGGGCAACTAAAGCTCAGAAAGGGGAAGCGACTTTCCCAAGGTCACAAGCTACTGGAAGAGCCTGGTCTAAAACCACCACACCTTACCATGATGTTCCTCTTCAGTTCTCAAAATCTTTTGGGGTCCAGCTATATTTTCAGTCTGGCTCATCTCTCAAGGCATCAAATGCCACCTCTCTGTGCCTTAGGGTCTCTAGAGGCTTCAGAATGGGGAGGAAGACCCCTCACTGGCTGCCCAAGGTCCCTCTGACAGGCAGCCCCACCTCAGGCCCTAGGCTGGGCTCTGGGAGCTCAGCTGACAGCACCATCTCACCCTCACGGGAGAACTGAAACCACAGCCCCTGTCACAAGGCAAGGGGTGAGCCCCTGGTGTGTGTGTGTGGGGAAGCCCCTGTGTGCCCCAGTGGGTAGGAGCAGAAAGAAGGAAAAAGAGTCAGAGATGGGTGGGGAGACAGCAGAGTGAGAGAGGAGGGCAGAGAGCAGAGAGGAGCAAGCCAAGGATGGGCAGTGGAAAGGGTGGGATGGGGGAAGGGCCTGGGCCCATCCTGTCCCTTCAGGCTCCCATAGCCCTGGGGACCTGGGTGTGGCATTTTCACAAGAAGCAGGGAAGGCCAGGACCCGCCTCACTGCCTCAGCTTGCAGTTTTGACCCATCTTTCTGCCCACAATGGGGCGTCCTTCCAGGGCCACACACCATTTAGCCCAGCTTATGTCTCCAACCCCCTCCCCACTCATTCTGCCTCCCTAGCTTCCCCGCCAGCCCACCACCCCCAAACCTCAGCAGCAACAGCTGTCTGTCCAGCCCCTAGCCCCCTCCTGGAGCCCCCACCCCCCCTGGCGGGGGAGGAAGAGGTCTGGCAGCCCAGGTAGAGGGAGCCGGAGCCCCACGCAGAGCCGGTCTCAGGGCTGGAGACGCAAGGAGCCCACTCAGGCTTCCCCGCCCCAAGCATGCACTGTCAGGTTCAGGGCCCGGACCCTCAGACGTCCCCGAATTGCCCACCTCCTTACCCGCACAGCTGGAGCAAGGGCGTGACGGGCGCAGCTGCGGGCCGCTGGGTCCCCGGCCTCGGCGGGGCGGCGGGCCCTGCGGGAGGAAGTGAAGCCGGGAGGGCGGCGGACGCTGACAGCACGAGCCCGAGCCGCGGAACCTCCCAGGCTGCTCGGAGCCGCGGCCAGCAGGTCGCGCGCTCTCGGTGTTCCGCACCCTCAGCCCACCCGGCCAGCCGACATGGTGGGGAGCGAGGCTTGGCTCTCCCCTGTCAGGACAGGCTGGCCATCAGGGACTGACTGACCATCTGGACCACTGGCCACACCCTGCTCTCGGGGAGACACGCCCCGCCTCCCCACCCCCACTGTCTAGCCAGGGAGGCCCCAGATGGGAGTGGGGGCAACTCTTGGGTGCTGGGGCCTTGCCTCAAGTGAGAGCTGACGCGGGGTGGGGGATTCTTATCCCAATACACTGACTTCTATCCCACCCCCCAACCTTCCCCACCACAGCCTCCCAGCAGCCATGTGGCTCAGACTGGGAACTGACTGACCCATCACAGGGCAGAGAGCGCTGATATGGACGGCCCCCAGGGAGAGGAGAGGCTCAGTGCAGCACATGCCCCTGGGGATACACCTCGCCCACCCAACCAACAGTTTGAGGGGATTCCCCATCTCCTGGCGACTCCCCCTCCCCCCCTATTCCCCTAGCTAGGGGCCCTGGCCCTACCAGACTCCCTCTAGTTAAAGACGCTTCCAGCACCAGCCGGTAGGGGGGGACATGGAGGCAGGCATGTACTGCGGATATCAGACGTCCCCGCTCTGCCCTGGTCAGGACTCAACCTGGGGCTGGGGGACACAGTCAGCATCCAAATAGCCCTAGGACTCCTCCCTCTGCCCCACTCCCTCAAATCCAATTCATTAGCAAACCCTGCCCACTCCCCCTTTAACTTCCCAAACTTGTCTTTATCTCTGCCTGGTCCAAGCTGTTATCATCTCTCCCCTGGGAGATTGCAGCCACCTCCAGACTAGTCTCTCTCCTTCACTCTTGCCCCACCATCACCCTCATAATCTATTCTCCTTATAGCAACTAGAGTGATCTTTCAAAAATGAAAGCCAGATTGCCTCACTCCCTGGCTTAACACCCCCACTCCCAACCAATGGCTTCCCATGGTGCTTAGAATAAAACGCAATCTCCGTACCAAACTCCTGTGCAGCCTGGGCGCCCTTCGCCATGCCTCCACCATCATCTCTCATTGCAACCCTGTCTTGCACATTAAACTCTAGACCTATGCTGTCCAATACGGTAGTTACTAGCTACGGTGGCTATTTAAATTTAAATCAATTATAATAGAATCAAACACTCAGTTCTACAGTCACATTAGCCACATTTCAAATGCTCAATAGTCACATGTGGTTAGTGGCTACCATATTGGACAGCACAGACGTAAAACTTTTCCATCATCACACAGAAGTCCATTGGACGGCTCTACACTTTTTGAACACATTTCAGTGTCTTCAATATGCCATGCTCTCTTCTGTTGCCTCCAAGCCACTGCACAAACTGTTCCATCTGCCAGGAACACCTCACACCCATACTCACCCACACCCGCCTCCACACACACAGCCCTTGCTCTAACCAACTCCTACCCAACCGTCACCTCTCCATTTAAACGTCACTTCCTCTTGGGTAGCCTTTACTAGACCCTGGACTGGGTTGGGGGTCTTCACTATATGTTCCCATGACATCTCATACTTCTCTGATCATAACTCATTATCCATTACTCTTTTTATTTAATTGTCTGGCTTCACTTTGTTTTTAAAGATTTTATTTTTCCTTTTTCTTCCCAAAGCCCCCCGGTACACAGTTGTATATTTTTAGTTGTGGGTCCTTCTAGTTGTGGCATGTGGGATGCCACCTCAGCATGGCTTGATGAGCGGTGCCGTGTCAACGCCCAGGATCCGAACTGGCGAAACCCTGGGCTGCCCAAGCAGAGTGTGCGAACTTAACCACTCCACCATGGGGCTGGCCCCCCTGGCTTCACTTTTAATAATAAGAAATGCCTACTGAGCACTCACTGTGTGTTACATGCTTTACATGTAACTCTCAGAGCAACCCTATTTCACAGATGAGGAAAATGAGGCTGGGCAAGGTTAGGCACCATGTCCAAGGCCTCATGGCTGAGAGGTGACAAAGCAAGGATTCAAGTCCAGAGCCACACTCTGTCCCACTAAGCTCCCCAAGGAGTGAGATCTTGCTTTTCTTGCTGTATCCCCAGCACCTAGCACAGCACAGAACCCAGTTGGCGCTCAAGAATGCTTTGAATGACTGGGTGGCTAATCATAATCACAATGCAGAGGGCATGACTGTGATGTTGTGAAAAAGTTGAAGAGTTAGTGGAGACCCTTAAGTCCTTCAGAGGTGTCACCATGTCAAGTGACAAGGACAACTGGGCAGACAGCCCTAATTGCAAATGTAGCTTATAAAAAATCATCAGGGACCGGCCCGGTGGTGCAGCGGTTAAGTGCACACGTTCCGCTTTGGTGGCCTGGGGTTCGCCGGTTCAGATCCCAGGTGTGGACATGACACCACTTGGCATGTGGTAGGCGTCCCACATATAAAGTAGAGGAAGATGGGCACGGATGTTAGCTCAGGGCCAATCTTCCTCAAAAAAAGAAAAAAAAGCTCCTCAGATCTTTAGACATCAGGGAAATGCAAATCCAAAACGACAGCGAGATATCACTTCACGTCCACTAAGATGGTGATAATCAAAAAGACAGATAATAATAAATATTGGTAAGGATGTGGAGAAACTGGAACCCTCATAAACTGCTGGTAGATTGTAAAATGGCGCAGCCACTTTGGAAAACAGCCTGGCTGTTCCTCAAAAGATTAAACAGAGAGTTCCTACATGACCCAGCAATTACTCCTTAGGTATGTCCTCAAAAGAAACGGAAACATACGTCTACACAAACACATGTACACAAATGTTTACAGCAGCATTACTCATAATAGCCAAATGGAAAAAACCCAAAGGTCCATCAGCTGATGAATGGATAAATGTCTCTCTAAACAATGGAATATTATTAATTTTTAATATTATTAAAAAGGAACAAAGTACTGCCACATGCTACAATATGGATGAACCTTGAAAAAACTAGGCTAAGTGTAAGAAGCCAGTCACAAAAGACCTCATGTTGCATGATTCCATTTATACGAAATGTCCAGAATAGGTAAATCCATGAAGATAGAAAGGAGGTTAGTGGTTGCCTAGGGCAAAGGGATCTGGGGTGAAACGTGGAACTAAAGGGACTGAGCTTCTTTTTGGGGTGATGAAAATGTTCTAAATTTGATTGTGATGATGGTTACACAACTCTGTAAATATACTAAAGACCATTGAACTATGAACTTTAAATTGGTGAATTATGTCTTAAAAAAAAAAGTCCTCTGTGCAGAGAAGAATGTCTGTGTTTTTAGCAGGACGCGCATCAAGCAGAGAAGCAAGGCTTCCTCAATCTCAATGCCATTGGAACCATATTTCAAGAAGCTCCATCCAGTCCAGTCTCCATGGAAGGAAACTCCCCCAAGCAGCCTTTACGCCATTCTTTCCTATGTGTTTCATTTCACATTTAGTAACTTTTTGTAAAGGCATGTTTCTTTTATTTGAATTTATTTTCAGAACCAACTTTAATAAAAACAAGAGAGAGGTCACAACAACATGAAGGAGAGGTATCCTTTGGAGAGGAGAACTGAGGGTCAAGGACGTGAGTGTAACTTCCTCTTCAATGCATATCCTTTGTGCTATTTGAATTTTTTACCATTGGCTTTAAAAAAACAAATATGGCATCCCTTGTCGAGTTAAAAAAAAAAAATCCCACTCAAATGTGCAAGAATGTCTAAAGCCTGTGGATAACCAATATAAATTCTAAAGAGAGGTGGGAGAGGAGGGGTTCAGAGCCCGGAAGGCGGGAATTGCTCTGGCTTTACAAGGAAGGAAGGGTGGGACTTGGGGAGATCCAGGCGGACACCTAAGGGCCTGGGCCTAGAGCCTTTGCTGCTTCTTGTACCAACTCCAAAACTTCGTCCAGAGCCAGGGCTGGGCCGTGTTTACTGGCCACATAGAGCCTCCCTGAGCAGCCTCGCGTCTGAGCCAGACGAGAAACAGAAATAAGCCAGCTTAGTAGGTTGGATAGGCTGGCTTCCTGGAACAAGGAAGACAGAGGCCAGAGATGAGCAGGTTCATAATGGGGAGGAAAAAAATGCTAGCTGAGGTGGCCCTGGTCTTCAGAGAGGCCAAGGATGCCTCCTAGAGGAGAAGGGGACCAAAGTCCTGCTGGTGTGGTCACGGCTTGCCTGGCGGGAGAATTCCCACGCTCCTGGACAGTGAGCCGCCCCTTCCCCGACTGCCGCAGAGGCCACTGTGCAGCCAGGCCCGGATGTGCGGCCTCTTTCTCCCAGGACTCAAAATAGCCACAGCCAGGCCCCAGGCCAAATCTGGGAGCCCATCAAAGGCCCGGAGCCTGTGGGGAATTTCTCCAACTTCAGGCTGGAGCAGGGCCCGTTTCCAACAGCCCCTGCTACAGACTAATGGATACCTGATTTACTACCGAAGAGACTAGGAGAGAGGGATGTTCTGTCATCTAGGAGACCAAAAAAGAGAAGAAAGGTGGGGGAGGCTGACTCGGGATAAAGATGAGTCGGAGAGAAGGAAGCGCTGATCACAGACACACTATCAGGACAGAGAAGAGCGACAGAGACTGAGGCCAAGAGCGACAGAGACTGGGCAGGCCACAACCAGCGACGGGGACCAGGAGAAAGACCAGACGCGGGCAGGGTCGGTCTGGGCCAAGGATGCATCAGACAGCCTGGACCGAGACAGGATGATCCGGGCTGCGCAGGAAGTCGAGCCAAAGAACCCCCGGTGGAGCACCGAGGTGTGAATGCGGACCGGACCAAGACATCCAGCTGGGGCCGCGGAACACTGCCGCCACGCCACGCCCCTCCCCTCCGCCCCTCCCCTCCGCCCCCTCCGGACTACCTCCACGCCCTGCCTCGGGGCTGCTCCCACTGTGCCTTTCCTCAGCCCCTGCACCTCTCCTTGGGTCTCCCCGCTACCCGGCTCAGCCGCACCCCCAGCTACCCCACGGCCCCCGCGGATGCGCCTCAGCCACGCCCCCACGCCCGGTTCCGGGGTCCTCGCCCCTTCGCACCGCCCCCGGCCCCCCGGCGAGGCCCCGCCCCTTCCCCACGTGAGCGTTTGGCCCGTGGGCGCACACGCTGTGTAGGGGCTGTGAAGGCCAAAGAGCCGCTGTCGCCGCTGGGGCTCCCGGATCAGGGTAGGAGGGCAGTGGGGCCTTTCCTGGGACTTGGGTGCCTTGCTCCTCCTGTCCCACTCCCCTCCACGAGTCACTCAGCAAAACAGTGAGGCTGTCGGGGTCTGTGGCCTCTGCCTCCCTTCCAAGGGATGCACCGAAGGCGTGGAAGCACGAGTAGCGCCTCCCTCCGGATGGAGGGCGCTGGGACAAACCTGCAAGCGCGCCCTTCTGCCGTGAGCCAGGCACTTTATGAGCATTTAAAAAAAAAATCTTTACCTCCACCCTGGGAGGTAGATCCTGTTATTTCCACTTCACAGAAGGGGAAACTGAGTCAAAGAGATGAAGTAACTTGCTTGCTCTAGACTACAGCACAGTTCGCAAGTGATGGCAGTGGGATTTGAACCCAGGTAGTTAGCTCTCCTTTTCGTTCCCATCTCTTTTTTTTTTAAGAAGTCAGGTTTATTGTGCTATAATCTACACTCTTTAACATTTTAACTTACTTTGTAATTTTAAAGAATTTACACCCTTTTTAGCCGACAGTTCAAAGAATTTTGACGACTGTATCTAATCGTGTGACCACCACAGCTATCAAGATATAGAGCATTTTCATCACCCCAAAATGTGCTCTGGTGCCCCTTTGCCCTCCTCGCCCCCACTGCCAGCCTCTGCTGACCACTGGTGTGATTTCTGTCCTTGTAGATTTGCCATTTCCAGAATGTCACGTGAGTGGAATCACAATATGTACCCTCCCTGTGTGCCTGGCTTCCTCTGAGGTCCCACATCATCTTGTTCTTGCTGCAGTTCCCCTTGGCAGTGTCTGACCCCTCTCCCAGATCTCTAGACTTTGAGGAAAGTTTGTTCCCACCGCCTGGAGGTAGCACAGGCCTGGAAAGGGAAGGATGGGCTGGGTTTGTGTTTGGAAGGTGTCTCAGTCCCTCCTGGCTGTTCTAATAAAATACCACAGACTGGGTAGCTTATAAACAACAGAAATTTATTTCTCATAGTTCTGGAGGCTGGGAAGTCCAAAATCAAGGCACCAGCCTGGTTGCCTACTGGTGAGTGCCTTCTTGCTCATCTAGTGGAAGGGGCAAGAGATCTCTCTGGAGACTCCTTTATGAGGGCACTAATGTCTTCATAAGGGGTCTACCCTCATGACGTAGGCGCATCACAAAGGCCCCATCTCCTAATACCATCACACCAGGCATTAGAATTTCAACATATGAATTTGGGGGAACACAAACATTCGGACCATAGCAGAGGGGTTGACAAGTTGCCCGAAGAACCAGGGGCAGGAATTCAGAACAAGACTTTAAGAAATTTCAGAAAAGCCACCCACATTTAGACTTTACCCTGAAAGTAATGGAGAATGATTTAGATTTGAGTGTTAGACATTCCCTCAGAGCCCTAGGGTCTCTGGGGCCTGCCTCATTGCCACAAAAGGCTGTCTTGGAAGAGAAAAGTTGTTGGCTGGGTCCCTTCCGGACAGGGGTACCCAAGCTGAACTCTGGCTGAAGGTAGCCCTCAAGTGAGAGAGAGAATGGGAAAACTCATGCATCCAGAGTTTTGTTTGTTTCTCTGCATTGTATCCTTTTGCCCCAGTTCCACTTTTTCTGTTTGTTTTTATGGGTCTCTGTCTTTTATGGTAGAAGCTTTCCTCAAATGTCTGGTACCAAAAACCAGATGCATGGATGGGGCTTCACTGAGCATCCCCCAAGGGCGATGTCATGGTTCCCAAAGTTTAGTATGCAGGTGTCCACGTCGTTCCCCCTGGTCAGCGTGGTCTCATTCGTCCATGGGTCCTCAGGGCACTAAGGTCTCAGCTTCTCCACCAAGTTATTGGCACAAACACTGCTGCCTGTGCCTCTGCTTGGTCCCCTCTCCCACTCTCTTTGTTCTTGTGGGTTTACACCGTTTTTATTCTTTTATGATCATTTTAGGGGGGTTTGTGGAGGAAGCCATTTTTAAACTAGAAGCTCAACCGTAACTGAAATGTTTTGTTTCTTTTTTTAAACAATCTGGAGCCAAAAAAAAAAAAAAAAATGAAGAAGTTGAAGTTGAGACAATGTGCAGACCACCCTTTGGAGGTGTTTCATTACATTAGGGGCATGAACTGGAAGGAGATGTGGGGTCAAGGCAGGGGGGATTGTTTCTTTAAAGATCAGAGACATGAAATAAAAGATTCTGTTTGAATGCTGCTGGAATGATCCAGTAGTAGAGAGAGACTGATAATGCAGGGAAGGAAGCTACCTGCAAGAACAAAGTCCTTGAGAAGGTGAAATGATGGCCCAAGAGGAGGAGTTCATCTCTGTTCATGTAAGAAGGAAGAAAAGAAGGCAAGGCAGGTCCAAGCGTGGACAGATTTCAGGCCAAGGGTGGGAAAATCTGATAGCCTCTGTTTTCTCAAAGAAGTGTGAGGTTAAGGTCACCAGCTGAGAGTAAGGGGGAGGGTGTGGGAAAGTTGAAGAAAGAAAATAGATCATATCACCTCTTAGACAAATGGAGTGGAATTGCCGGGCAGTGTTCAGAACCCCTTTGAGTATTGCCATCACCAATTTAAAGTGAAACCAGTTAACTCGGTTGTGTGATTTTTCCCCCTCAGCACTTGGGTACAGGTAGGGAGAAGGCACGTGTTAGACTCATCCAGGCTTGGGTTTTTGCTAGGCAGCTAAGAAAGAGGAAGAGGTGTGTTTCCAAGGGAGGGAGTATACTGAGAAATCAAACCATCTCTTCCCTCCTCCACGCTGAGGTGCCATCCCAGAAGTTGGGGATGATCAGCAGCTCCCAGGGCCCTGTACACTCCAGGTTAAAGGGGTTCCCAACCTCTCTTGTAAATAAGACAAGTGCCAGTGCACAACACTGCCTGAGCCTGAGAAACGCAGGGAAAGTCTCAGGAAAGGAAAAAGACAGACAGTACTTTCCAAAGGCTGAAGTGGGACATTTTAACCTTGAACTCAGAGAGCCCACCCTGCCAAACGAAGGGGCTCTGCTGCCAACAGATGGGTGGGTGGGGGTGGGCTGGGGCTCTGAATTCCTTTCTGTACCTCTAACCTACAGATGTGCAAAGATGTACAGAGTAGTCTATATCCACCTCTGAACCCACCTGGGTAAAAATTATTTTTAATTCTGACTTTAATTACTGGTTTTATGGATGTATTTCCTCTTTTTCTTTGGTCTTAGCTATTTTTAACACAATAATAAATTTTATAAGTTTTTTATTACCTTTATACATGATCACCTTTTCATCTGTCTCTTGCAGTATCTCCTGAATTTTCTCTTTTTGTTTTATATACTTTGTCCAAAACTTTTTCATGTGGGTCTTTTCGCAGCAAGCTTTCTGAGACCTTGTCTATCCGAGAATACTTTTATCATGCCCTCACATTTAAATGATAGTCTGGCTGCACGTAAAATTCTAAGTTCTAAGATCTTTTCCTTCATTATTTTGAAACACTGCTCCATTGACTTCTTGCATCTAGTATTCCTGTTGAAAAATCTAATATTGATAAGCTTCTTGGGGCCGGCCCAGGGGCGCAGCGGTTAACTGCATACATTCCGCTTTGGTGGCCTGGGATTCGCCAGTTCGGATCCCGGGTGCGGACATGGCACCACTTGGCAAGCCATGCTGTGGCAGGCGTCCCAGGTATAAAATAGAGGAAGATGGGCACAGATGTTAGCTCAGGGCCAGTCTTCCTCAAAAAAAAAAAAAAGAAAGAAAGAAAGAAAGAAAGAAAGAAAGAAAGAAGGAAAAGAAAAACACAGGCAGTTACTCCTCACCCCATGAAACAACTCCTCAAGTCATGTTTTCATGATTTGCTCTCTAGAGAGGAGCTTTAGGAGTACTCACTCCTAAAAATGTCACTCCTCAATCTGGCTGTTTGGAGGGGGTGATGAGAAGGCAACTGCTGGAAGTCAGTTAGGCCCCACCTGTTTTTCTCAGTGCCTCCCAAACACAAAAGGTCTGGGCGGCCCTGATTTGACTCCAAGGGCACACAGAGCAGAGATCTGAGTCACTGCAGAGGTGGAGGCGGCAGGTACTTTGTGTTCCAAGGCAGTCAAGAGGGAGAAACAAGAGCAGAACTCCACTCCTCCATTCTATTCCCAATTCAAAACAGCACACCCCTCCCCATCACCCCGAGATTTTACACACCTTTCCCTCTCCTGGGGAGGGGCCAGCACTTGTGTTTGATTCTGACCCATCAATGTATTTATCATCCCATACTACAAGTGTCTGTTTACTAGCCTGTTTCCGTTCAGTGACTGAGCTTGTTTGTCTGGGTAGCTTTAGGACTTTGCACAGGGTAAGAAAGACCAATTTATTTCCACAAATATGAGGATTAGAGTAAGGCTTAGAACAACATACTCATTTCCTCAGGAGATGTTTTGGGCCCAAATTCACACAAAGCTGTTTGGGCCCCCCCTTTCCAGAATGGAAGGGGTGCTATTTGCCTGTTTCTGGGCGTACCCCACAGAAAGTCTGTGTCTCTACCTTCTCCCCGTTATATTCCGTGGTTTGGAGTCAGCCAAGAGCCTGTGCAGATGATATATTTACTCTGTGGTACGTCTTTAGGCACAGCCCCCTTATTTCATTATAAATTTTCATGTTAGCAAAACCATTTGAGGCCCTGCTTGTCTGAGCCCACGGGGCAGAGCTTGGAGCCATGCTATGCTGCTCTGGCCTCAGGTCCAAACAGAGCCGAAAGTGAAAGTGAATTATTTTAGGTCGGTGAAGTCAGTCTGCAGGGGAGCAGCCACTTAGAGGAAATTATCAACACATTACTGGAAACCTTTAAGCAGCTTCAACCTGCATTTTTGTGGTTTTGCAGAAAAGAGGAGAAGAGACAGCAGAGATGGCAACAGCTCTGGGAAGGCCGAGGCCCAGACAAGAGAAGATGAAACACGAGCTTGCACACTCTACAAACTCTTCCAGCCCCACCTTGCACCCCTTCAACCTCTGTCTTCTTGTCTCTGGAGGTCTCTTTTTCTGAGCTCCTCTGGTCATGCCCTTGGGCAGCTCAGCGCCTTCTCCCTTCTTAAGGTTATGGCTGGTATTGGGGCGGCAGCCATGTTGTTCTAGTAAACCTTGGCGAGCTGCTTCCAGAAAAAGCTCAGGGGAGGAAGCAGAGGATAGGTTTATCTAAAAGGCCATCAGAGCTTCTGCCCTGAAGTATTGGCTGCAAAAACAGAGCAAGCCACTTCAACTTCTAAAGGAGATTATGCTCAGGCCTGATGCTCAGAAAAACAGCTTTCATGGGGGTTAGAGGCAATGGGAGTCTGCTTTGCAGGGAGCCAAGGGGAAACAGGAGGTGTTGGAGGCTGCCAGCTAATCTGTAAGGTGGGAGGTGGTAGCCTTGGTCTGTTGAAAAGTCTCTGGGCATGGTGGGGAGATGGTATTCTCCCTTGAAAGTGAGGCCTTCTTTGGATAAGCCTGAAAGGCCTTTTTCTCCCCCAAGTGCTGAAGCATCCCCTTGCTGGATACAGCAGTCAGTATTTTCCACTCTGACTCCAGGTGAGCAGAGTGGGAGCATTACCTCCCATTCCAAAATTGGGAGCATTACCTCCATTCCTCAAGGCCAGTGTTTGGGAGGCCTGGGCTACATACTGAAGGAGTCGAGGGGCCAGGCAGCTCTGCCTACTGTTCCCACCAGAGCCATGGTCCCAGAACTTACCCTACCCCCTCGAGCAGCAAGGTCACATCCATCCTCACAGCAGGCTCCAGAGCAAGGCAGATGGATGCCTGGCTCTGCTAAGCTTCACCTTTCTTCAGGCTTCTTTTGATGCCAGCTGTTGACCTGGAGTCTAGAGCCCTGCTCCAGTGCCAGGAGCAGGAGGGAAGAATGCAGCTCCAGGATGACTCAAGGAGCTGGTAAACAACACCTAAGCCTAAGCGTACAAACATACGCCCCACCCTTGTGGATGGAAAACCGTGTGAAAAGATGGGATTGTGTCTTTAGGATCATGGCAAACTGCCTTAAATACCTCATAATTGTGGGGAAATTCCTGAAATTCTAAAATTCAACCACTAAACAAAATTGCAATATCTACAGCCAAGAGTAAAGGTACTTAACAGATAATGAGCTCTAAAAAACCAATAAGACAACTAAACAAAATTTTTAAATTTTAAATAAAATTGAGGATACGAACAAAGAGGCTCAGAGAAGAAAAAAAAAGGTGCTAAACCTCATTCATCAAATAAATGTGAAATTTTAATTATTTATTTATTTGAATATATAATATCTGCCCACTGTGAAAATTCAAGCAGTTCAAAAGATATTATATAGTGAAAAGGATGTATCCTCTCCTACCTCCTTTCTCGGAACCAACCATTGTTAGCAATTTCTTATGTATTCTTCTAGAATTATCCTATGTGTATACAAAATCATTGAAGTATAAATATCCCTCTGTTCAAACAAGTGCTAACACATATACTCACTGCTTTTACATTTAGGTTATTTTGAGTGTATTGCTATTATTAACAATATAGCAGTGAAACCATCTGTTCATGCTTCTTTGTGCATTCACCTCTGTAGGAATATCTGAAAAAGTCCTGGAAGTGAAATTGCTGGGTCAAAGGGTAGGTGCATTTAAAATGTTCATAGCTACTTACCCAGTTGCCTGCCAAAGAGATTTTACCAGTTTGTGCTGACCAACAATGCATGAGGATGTATTTCTCCACTCCACTGGAAATACTGTATTAACAGTCTTGTTTTCATCTTCGTCAATCTGAAAGATTAAAAAAATGCTATTTCCTACATTTAATGGTCATTTTTTTCTTACTATAAGTAAAACTGCACATCTTTTCATGTGTTTAAGAACTATTTTTAAAAAATTGTCTGTGAATTGTCTGCTCCTATCCTTTGCCCATTTTTCTATTGGATTACTAATCTGTTTCTTATGTGATTGTAGAAACTTCTTTTGTATTAAAAAGATTAGCCCTTTATATGTGTTGTAAATATTTTTTCCTAGTTTGTTATTCACCTTTTGACAAAAATGTGAGGAGATGAATTTATAAAGGTGTTGGTCATGGATTTGTTTACCCAGTGTACCATTAATAATATGGATTAAATAAATTATATACAATAGAATGCTACGTAGCTACTTAAATGAAGATTTATATTTATTAACATAAAATAATATCTATGCTTAGTATGTAGAAAAAGCAGGATATAAAACAGAACATTATATGATCCCCCTTTTAAAAAAATCTGTTATCAATAGTTACCTCTAGTTGGTAGAAATTTGGGTAATTTATTCAGGTTACTTACTTTCTCCTTTTTGCCATTCTAGATTATCTGAATTTTTTTATGACGAACATACGTTGTGTTGTTCCTTTAACAAAATGAAAAATATGAATCAAGCCATTTCAATTTGAGAAAAAGAAAAGTAAAAACTCAAACCCAAAACATCAATAAGTACACGGCAAATTTACCAGTTTCATTAACAAAGGACTGAAATTTTCCCCTAAAATGTTGATATTAACTCCTACAGCATTATATTGGTCAGAGCACCCTCACATGTCCTCAATGTTTGTAATATCATAAGTATTTCAAAGTCACGCTATTTTTAAACATTTATTTAACTTATAAAGAAGCATAGGGCTATCATGTAAGTGATAGGAAACAATTATGACTGTGTTTGGTATGCTTCACAAAGTATAGTTATGTGATATAAAAGGAGTTTGTCAAAGTCACTATTGACACGGGAGTTAACATAGGCATTCTATTAATCTGGTTTGTTGATCCCTGGTGGGTAAAGAATAGCTATTATGATCTGGGAGTCATGGGGGTGGCAGTTTCCTCTTCCTGGAACATTCTACCCCCTGGATACATTTACCCTTTAAAACAAAAATGTATGTTATAAATAGCCATCAACAAGACTTACACCTTCATTTATGTCTTTGGCCCAAAAGTCGTAAAGAAAAAGACTGCCAGATTCTTTTTCAGATTCAATATTTCTTTACAAAAGACATCATAAACAAAAAGTAAAATAATAGTCTGACTCTATTGCCATAATTATAACAAATTATTACTTTTTAGAATATATAAAGAGGTCCTATAAATTAATAAATATGGGCAAGGATGTGGACAGGTAATTCACAGTACAAATTAATGTCAAAAGATATAATCTCACAAGTTTAATCAGAGAGATGTAAATTAAAATAAAGTATAATTTTTGCCTTCAAATTATTTAAAATTGAAATGATTGGTAATGTATATTAATGAGGGATTGGAGGAGGGCTAGGTACTCTTACGCAGTATGGGTGGGAATTTATATTGGTATATATTTTTAAAAATTACTGTGGTAAAATATACATAACATAAAATTTACCATTTTAACCATTTTTAAGTATACAGTTCAGTGGAATTAAGTATATTCACATTGTTATACAACCATCACCACTATAATCACCAGAACTTTTTCACGTCTCAAACTAAAACTCTGTACACATTAAACACTAACTTCCCATCCTCACTCTCCACAGCCCTTGGCCATCACCATTCTACTCTCAGTCCCTATGAATTTGAGTACTCTAGGTACCTCCTATAAGGGGAATCACACAGTATTTGTCTTTTTGTGGCTGGCTTATTTCACTTAGCATGATATCTCCAAGGTTCATCCATGTTGTAGCATGTGTCAGAATTTCCTTCCTTTTTAACGTTGAATAAGATTCCATTGTGTGTGGTACAATTTTTTCAAAGAGCAATTTTGTAGTAATCACAAATTTTAAAATGTCATATTCTTTGATACAGCAATTCCACGTCTAGGTATATCACAAGATATGATGAGGTAAGTTCTTCATTTCCTCCAGATCCTTGCTGAAATGTCATCTTCTACCTGAGGTCTTCCCTAACCAACCTGTGTCCTTTATTCTGCTTTATTTTTTCACTATAGCACTTTTCATTATATAAAATATATACTTACCTATTTGTCTGTCTCCTCTCCACTTTAATATAAGTTCCACTAGGGCAGGGACTTGGTCAGTTTTGTTCATCACTGCATTTCCAATGCTGGAAACACAGAAGACATTTAATAAATATTTGTTGAATGAATAAACAGATGGAAAAATATTCTCATTCAGTGGTTTCCTTTGGGGGTGTGAGGCTAAGTGAGAGGGGATTTTTCACTCTTTACTGGATACTCCTATATATCATTAGATGTATTTTATCAAGAGCTTGTATCACATTTGTATTTTATAAAATCAATCAGATAATTTTTTAAAATCACATGTCCAAATTGACTATTATTTTGTCTGTTAACACCTGCTTGAAGACAAGCCATAGCAAGTACCAACTGATTAAGAACAACTTATGGAAGAAAAATTTAACCTGAAAAACGTTTCACCCACTTCCCTGTGAATTGGGAAAATATTTATGTTTATACTGTTCCATTTTATACTTGTGTTCTATTTCAGCAGTAGAATACCCGGGCCCAGTTTTTGGCCTACCTCCAGTCTATGGCAGCACGTTTCTGTCCTTAAAGAGGCCTGGAACCAAGTGCAATGAGCAGTGCTAGATAAGGAGAGAGGGGAGAGGTCATAGCTTCAAGAGTGTTTCTCAAAGTTTGAGGGACGTTCACCGATCGAAAAAGAAAATGAAATAAAAAGTGAAATTGGAAATTAGAAAACACTGGGTTAAACAAAATTAAGCCAGTTCCTTTAAGGCTGAACTTCTCGGAGCCTTTAATATGCTATTGCACACAGCACAACTGCAGGAGGGAGACAGACAATTTTCTGAGCTCTTATGACCCACAGCATCTTTTTCACATTGGTTGTAATGTTTGGAGGACAAAGTTTGGGAAACAGTGATATCAGAAATTTCTGAAGGTAGATGTGTTCAGTAAGAGGAGTCCTGGTAGGTGTTGCGTGGTCAGAGGAGTGGGTGCTAGAATAAATCAGAGGGGTTGGCTGAGACCTACTAGCTGGAGAGTGAACTTCACCACTCAACTTCTGATGACCAAAAAAAAAAAAAAAAAAAAGATGGGAGGATAAGGCTGGTAATGAGGTCAAGAAAGTGTGAAAAAAGTGAAAATCCCAAAGCTCATTTCCCTGTTAATATTGTTTCACCAAGTGCAAGATCCTTTCCCAGAAATCAACATTTGTCTAAAACTTCCATTTAGAGTCAGCTGGGCCTGATCAAAAGGGAGCCATGGCTTGCCCCTTCAGACTATTTGAGGAATAAGCGGAGTATAACTACAATGAACTGCATTGAGGTTCAGAAAGTATCATGAGATGTAGTTTCTAGAGGCCCTGGGGGATCCACAGAGAATGAACCAGAGACTTATGCAAAATAAGTCTACCAAATTTGGGAGCACAGTCTGACTTCAGGGTAGAATTACATTGCTGGCTCTTGGACGGGGGACGCTTGTTGTGAACAATGCTGATGCTATGTCATCAAGAACTTCAGCCCTCCTGGAAGCCTAGGGGGCACAGATTTGAAACCATCTAGAAAGGAGTTGGAATACGTCTCCCTTCTCAACCACCCCTTTACTCTCCTGAAACAACCAATGTTAAACAAGGGCCCATCCTTCTTGGTGCTTACGCACACATACACATTTTTTCTGTAGCATTTTTCACTGTCTTATTAAATATTGTTCCATGCAAGTTCCTATCTCTTTCATTCTGTTTTAACTATTGTATTATCATAATTCAACCACTCTCCCTGGATGGGCAATTAGGTCATTTGCAATTTTATTACAATAAATAGTATTGTAAGCATGTTTTTGCCTTTTTTTTAAGCACTTCACATGTAATCCTCATAACTACTCTGAGATAGGTATAATTAACCCCAATTTTATAGATGAGGAATCTGAGGTGCTGATAGGATAAATTAGTTGCCCCAGGTTACAAGCCAGTAAGTGGTGGAGCCAGATTTGAACTCAAGCAGTCTTGTCTCCAGAGCCACACTCTGAATCATATTAGACTGCAACATTTTCATACAGAAGGCATATAACCCTTTAAATTGAATAGACTTAATTTTATGTAAAATCCACTGTGTTCTCATTTTTTTCATTTCAGTAAAACTGGAGAAAACTTTATCTTGGAGTGGCATTAAGCTATAGACCAGCACCTGGGACTTACTGCTTTCAGTGTAACAAGCAAGTATTCTTTTAACACCTCTTTGCACACAAGTCCGAGCATTCTTTCAGGAAAGATCACAAATAGATTAACACAAACCCTTCTTTCATCAAATTCCTAAGTTGAAGGGAAACAATGAAGATTACAATTGGGGATGGTTAAGCGGCAGCTTGTTCCAAAAACTCTGGGATCTCAAGGCACACAATGATGTGTAATACAAGTAGTTCTGATAAACACATGGAATTTGCTTTTTGGAGATAGCACAGGTCCAAAATAAAACGAATTTAAAATAAATTTCTGGAAGATTGACCCATGTACACTTTGGACACCAGCCTATTAAGTCACAAAGGTCCCATAAGCAACCCTCTGTGTCATTGTTTCTGAGGTTTATAATGGGTGGGGAGGTCCAGGGAGACAGTTCCTTAAAGGAAGGGCAGGTGAGGTACTCGCACCACGGGCCATAAGAGTTTGTGCGTCTCTTCCTTCCTATGGGCTCTTCAGCACCTGGACCAACACTGCAGTTGACAACTATACTCCTAGCAGTTAGAGGAGAAGCTAACTGGACAATGAACATTAAGTGGAATAGTGGATAGGACTGAGATCTATCTCGGATTCAGATACATGAACAAATCTTTTCAACTCTTCCATCCCTTTCTAGGTCATCCCAAAGCAAAGGTCTACTCCTACTCACATTTCCCCATGGCATTGTTGACCCCTCACCAGCAGTCATGAGAAGTGAGCAGGAACCATAAAGGACTGTTTTACTCAGTGTAGAGTAAGGTTTAAAGGCAAGAGTGATAAACTCACTTCCAAAAATCAGTTGATAGCACAGGTTGTTGAAGACACATTTAGAGAGCATTTTGCTTGCTCGAATTTCAAGTTCTGTGCAGAGTGGAGATTCATGAATATCTTAGGGGATCCCTATAGAAGAGATTCCCAGGGAGAATTAGAGACAGCAATAGCTGCAACCTTTCCTTGCCAAGGGTTTCACCAGACTAGAGACTCGTGAGCCTGTTACGCCAGACAGTGGAGATTTGGGAGAAATGACAATTTTTCAAGTCCTACTGCCCAAACCACCGCTAGTCTTTACTTAGCTCTTCAGTGATGTGCCTTTTTTTTTTTTTTTTTTTAAAGATTGGCACCTGAGCTAGCAGCTGTTGTCAATCTTTTTCCTCTCTGCTTTTTCTCCCCAAATCCCTCCAGTGCATAGTTGTATATATTTTAGTTGTGGGTCCTTCTAGTTGTGGCATGTGGGACTCGACCTCAGCATGGCCTGATGAGCGGTGCCATGTCCGCGCCCAGGAAGCTGAGCTTGTGAACTTAGCCACAGGGCAGACCCCAAGTGATATGCTCTTATTCTCCAGGTTTATAAATCAAGACTTTTATTAAGTGTAAAGTACAGAAAAGAAGAATCTTCAAAACCCAGCTTTACTAGCAAGAAAATCTTTTTAATTATTTTACTTAATAATCAGCAAAAAGCCTGCTTCTACTTAAAAGCACTGGTTTGAGGACATCCTGAAGGGGAAGGAACATAGAACTTCATGGATTTTATAAGCTGTTCAAGTCAAAGTTGACAGAACACTTACAGTCCTTCTTTTGCCCCTAATGAGAACTAGGTCTTGAGCAAATCAACTCTAAAACGGTGCGACTGGAGAGGATGTCACCCTCCAATCTAACAGTGAAATGTGTTCCCTTAAGTCTAAGGATGGCTTGATTTTGCACTACCACCTCCAAGGGTTTAATATAAGTAGTTACCCTCTCTGGCCCATTTTATTACCACTCCAAGGAACTGAAGCATTAACTCACTAAACAATCCGAAAATTAAGTGCTATCTCCAGGGTCTAACTTACCAAGAAAACCAGAGTTAAGTACTCCAGTTTAATATTTTATGCTCAATTTTAATTGAGCGTATTTCTAGGACAGACACCTAAGAAACTGTTAAGGCAGAGCTCCTGAAATCATATACCACGCCATTCTCAAGCACACCCAGAGCATCAAAAGCTATTTCTAGACATGATGGTTTGCTTTCTACATTCTTAAAATGCACCTCTGGGTGATTAAGATGTTCTTACCCCTACAGCCGCACTTGTGATCAGACCAGTTTTAGTATCAGAGAAGTTATCTCCCTTCTGTGTGTTTTGTTGTTGTTAATAACAGTTTTATTAAGATATAATTCACATACCATACAATTCACCCAAGGCGTGCAATGCGTTTTAGTACATTCACAGAGTTGTGCAACCATGACCACTATCTAATTCCAGAACATTTTCATCACCCCAAGCAGAAACCCTCTACCCATTAATAGTTAGTCCCCAATTCCACCCCCACCTCCCAGCCCGTGGCAACCACTAGGTTTGCTTTCTGTCTCTATGGATTTGCCTGTTTTGGACATTTCATACAAACAGAACACTACTCAGCAATAAAAAGCAATAAACTCTCATACACTCAACAACTTGAAGCTCTACAGAATTATGCTGAGTGGAAAAAGCCAATGGCAGGTTACGCACTCCGATGATTCCATTTATGTAAAATTCTTGAAAGGTCAAAATTATAAAAATGGAGAACCTATTTGTGATTTCCAAATGTTGAGGACAAGGGGAGGGGGGATGGGCAGTGGACGTGGCTAGAAAAGGGCAACATGAGGGACCGTTTGGTGATGGAAATGTTCTGTATCTTGAGGCATCAAAAGCAATGGTGATATTGTACTATAATTGACTAACATGTTACTACTTCCGCAGCATGCTTTTTGAGAAAACCAGGAGAGCTTTTAACTTCTCCCCCTTACATGCACTCCCCCACACACCATTCCTCTTAATCCCAAAGTGAGAACCACTAGTACTTACTCAAGTTACGCTGCAGGAAACAGAGTGGGGAAGAGAATGAGAATTCAACGCACTGTAAGAATAAATGGTACCTTGTGTCCACATTCTTACTCAAATTTTTTCTTAGTGTTGGAAACACACTGTCTAGTGTTTACTGGTATGGCAGCATAAGAATTGCTTGGTTTATGTCAGGCTTGACCAAAAATTACAGCAAATTTCAAATTAGAGAATTTCATCCGCTGTGGCAATCTTAGCCTTTTCCTTAGATTAACGTAAAGCTGTTAGTCATTAAGAACCAACTGTTAGGAATCACCCTCATTTGCTGCCTAACACACAAGTCAGCAAAGGGCCTTATACCAGAACACCCTTTTAACTTCTTTCAGGCAATCCTTCTCCCCAGCCAGCCTTCTTTCAAACTTGACCTGGGCTCCACTTGATTCTTGGCTGAGTTCACACAGAGTAGACAATATTACGGGTTTATTTCACTACTTAACATTAAACATTCGCTAGAAAGGAAAGCACAACAGATAATCAACCAATGACTACAATACCTAAAAGTACTTAGAATTCAGCACTTAACCAAAATCTCATTTGGTTTACCCAACTATTTGAGGTGAAGGCAGGCCAGTTTGTTTTCTCTCCATATACTTCCCTATTGAATTAGTTGCTTACACTTCTGCAATGGCGTGCATTATACCAGAATCCTAACTTGTAAATGACCTTGAACAAAGGACAAAGTTTCTACAACTTGGCACTTCAAATGTTTACCGAAGGCAAGTAACCTAATTTTGGTCACACTGACATCCTCCCAGTTAACTCCCCTCCTTAACTACCATTTTAACCCATTAGGAGTCCCCACATCACTACATGAAAAAACTTCAACAGACACCAAATATGCTACCATGCAACAAAACCTTTATTAACATTTTGAACAGGTTCAGCTATTACTGAAACTGGTAATTTCTAAACTTAAATTGGGGCTAATGGCTGGAGTGCAGAGTAATGCCATCACTGGACATTACAAAGACAAGACTGAAAAGCTAACAGCCACCCCTGAGACGGAGCACCAGGTGCAGGGTCGACTCTTTCTGGATGTTGTAATCAGAAAGAGTGCGGCCATCTTCCAGCTGCTTGCCTGCAAAGATGAGCCTCTGCTGGTCGGGGGGGATGCCCTCCTTATCCTGGATCTTGGCCTTCACATTCTCGATGGTGTCGCTGGGCTCCACCTCCAGGGTGATGGTCTTGCCGGTCAGGGTCTTCACGAAAATCTGCATCCCACCTCTGAGACGCAGAACCAGGTGCAGGGTGGACTCTTTCTGGATGTTGTAGTCAGACAGGGTGCGCCCATCTTCCAGCTGCTTGCCTGCAAAGATGAGCCTCTGCTGGTCGGGGGGGATGCCCTCCTTATCCTGGATCTTGGCCTTCACGTTCTCGATGGTGTCGCTGGGCTCCACCTCCAGGGTGATGGTCTTGCCGGTCAGGGTCTTCACGAAAATCTGCATACCGCCTCTCAGACGCAGCACCAGGTGCAGGGTCGACTCTTTCTGGATGTTGTAATCGGAAAGAGTGCGGCCATCTTCCAGCTGCTTGCCTGCAAAGATGAGCCTCTGCTGGTCGGGGGGGATGCCCTCCTTATCCTGGATCTTGGCCTTCACGTTCTCGATGGTGTCGCTGGGCTCCACCTCCAGGGTGATGGTCTTGCCGGTCAGGGTCTTCACGAAAATCTGCATACCGCCTCTCAGACGCAGCACCAGGTGCAGGGTCGACTCTTTCTGGATGTTGTAATCGGAAAGAGTGCGGCCATCTTCCAGCTGCTTGCCTGCAAAGATGAGCCTCTGCTGGTCGGGGGGGATGCCCTCCTTATCCTGGATCTTGGCCTTCACGTTCTCGATGGTGTCGCTGGGCTCCACCTCCAGGGTGATGGTCTTGCCGGTCAGGGTCTTCACAAAGATCTGCATTTTGACCTACACAATTTAAAAGGCAGACGTTGGCACACCACCTCAGCATATTTATACGTATTACTTTCAAATCTAGTCAACTCCTTAAACAGTGAACTCTATTCTTCCAAAATGCCTTAAACCCCATTAACACCTCTCTCAAACCTCCCTTAATTTTTGCTAGACTCGCCTTAAAGTATTCATCGAACTCAAACGCTTTAGTCCAGGCTTTAACTTAAACGGGCTGGAGGATCAAAAGCACTAAGGTTAATACCTAGAGCTTTCCTAACTGTTCCAGACACTTCACTAAATGCCCCCGGAACAATCTTTCCAAAACTTAAGGATGGCACATATCAGCGGTGGGGAAAAAACCCGACAAGATGCGGGAGGAAAAAAAACCCGTTGAAACGGAGGCGGGGCGGGACACCTTCTCCACGCTGGGACTCGGCATTCGTAGGTCTCCAGAAGCCACACCAGCCTACCTCTTCTCCGCCTTCCCCCTCTGAGGCAGACACGATGGAATCTCCATCGGTTAAAGGCCCGTTGGTCTCTAACCGCGCGCGCGCCAACCGCCCCCGACACGTCAACAAGGCCCACTCTTCCGGAAAGGCCGGGCCGCGGCGCCGCGTCACCGCGCCTTCCCCTCCCCCCACCCCCTCTCAGAGGCCCACCGAGCGCCAGGAATCCGCCAGCTTCCTCACACACTCAGGCCCCCTCCACCCCTCCCAGGCCCGGGCGGCTACAAGCCAATACCTGGTGACGGACACGAAGAAACTGCTAATCCAAACCACGCCAAATCACCTCAGCAATACCACACCAAAAGGCCACAACGCCAGTCGCCTCTGAACGCTCCGCTTCGGCGGAGCTGAAATTTATGCAACGTCTGTTGCGTCACTCATCACTTCCTACGTAGCCGCAGTGTTCCTACGCCGCTAAAAGTAGTTCGCTCGGCCCCAGCTCCAGCGACGCACTTAGACCGTTCCGTTGAGCCCCAAATTTCTCAGATTCGGAAACAAGGATCCTAACAAATCAGCTCCCCTCTCTTCCAGGCGATCCTTCTCCTTTTTTAGAAAAAGGTAGGAAGATTTATCAGGCGGATGAATTCGAGTTACGAGGACCTTCCTCGAAAGCTCTGGAAACTTCCTTGCGGCGCCGGCGCTGATTGGTGAGGCGTGGGAAGGCGAGGCCGGCGCTGATTGGTGGGGGACGCGGCGGCTCTGTTGTTGCCGGGCTCCCAGCTGGGTGGTTTAGCGCCGACGTTGCTAAGTAACTGAGTGCGCGTGCGCCGCAGAAGCGCGCCTTCGGGGAAGAAGAGGCGCTTCCGGCCGGGGGTGGGGGAGGGGGAACCTTCGCTCCCGCCTGCAAAGACCCAGCCCCCACCTCTCGTTTTCAGGCCTGAGGCAAAGAAGGTGGGGACTCCGCGGCTGCTTTCCCGGGAAGGGTTCCCAGTCCGGGTTGGATGTGCTCAGGAGCGGGGCGGCGCGGCCTGCAGCTCTTCTTCTTGGCGTCTGCTGTGAAGCATAAGCCCCCGTCCCCGGGATCTTTAAAAACGCGCGCCCCTCACACACTGGCGGGTTTTTAGTTTTGCTCTCGGTTAGAGCAGCGTTGTGGAGCTTTAATCACGCTTCTTTACAGTTAGAATGCTTTTGTCCTACTTGATGCTCATAGGGCTCCGAGGAGAGTCGGTAAATTTAGACTCTCCTGGGGACTCCCTGCTGCCCCCTGTCGCGGAGGCGCAGCGCGGCGCCTGTCCGGCCCCACCGGGCTCGGTGCCCGGCCTTAGATCTGGCTCCTGGAAAGACTGCAAATCCCTTCGCCTCCTTGTTGTTTCTCCAGACTGTGGTAGGGGAAGAGAGAAATGTGGATTAGGGAGCTGAAAAGCCTCTTCGAGAGACGGGGAGTTCATGTACTAGAGAGGAACCTATTTTTCTCCCATTGGTGTGTTTGTTGTGCAAGCGACGTTGATGTGTTTGTGTGCTAGCTAGGACCACACAACTGGTTTCCAGCACCCCGGGTGTGGCCACTCGTCCCGCAGGGAGATAACCCAAGGAACGTGAGTAAGGCAGGGTTGTTTGGATCTCGGTGCCTCTCGGCCCTGGTTCTGAGTCATGGAGGTGAGGGTGTAAACAAACATGCAAGTAACGTTTGTCACGTCATACCTTCCTACGTAAGAAGTCGGCTAAAGATCTGCACAGCTTAGCTAGGTATCACTTAGAGAAGGTCGTTAGTCATTGAGTTACAACATTTCTAAGCATAACATGAAACTGTGTCGATTAATGTACAATATAGACGGTATATGATGAGTTCACACGTAGACAGCTTTAAGTTCAGCTTACTAAAACTTGGTAAGATCTGCTTAATCAGGAGATAGAAATTAACAGTTTCTTTAAGATAATTTTGGACTTGGAGGTAGTTGGTAAAATGTTCATTTTACAAAGGATAAATTTTCACTTTTGTTAACATAGCAGCTAATCTGAGCTTGTTTCACCAAACAGCTCCTGTGAGTCATACGTGTTGATTGGTAGAATGATCTGGAATGGAGATCTCATGATCGATATGATGACTTCGCTAGGAGTTCTAGCAGTGCCTGGAACTAAGTTAGTCATACAACTTCCTGGTTTAATGTTTTCCCAAAAGTAGGTCATTTGGTAACCTCAACAAAGCAAATGTTTTCAGAAGGAGAGCAAATGCTGTTCTTGTACAGTAAACCAGATGAATTTTTTGTGGTCTGTTTATAAACGAAACTTTTAGTAATAACATTTCTGATAATTATAAAAGGTAATTTGTAAACAAATTAAAGAATAGAACACAAAAATCCCAAAGATTAGGAATTTGGTAATTTAGCACAATACTTGGCAGTGTGCTCAATAAATGTGTGTTCAGTGAAATGCAATTTTGCATTTTGTTCAGCTAGAAAAACCCCCACAACTTTGTGACAGGCACTAAAATACGAAGCAGAAAGAGGTGGCACAGTGGTTAAGTGTGCACGTTCCACTGTGGCGGCCTGGGGTTCGCCGGTTTGGATCCTGGGTGTGGACATGGCACCGCTTGACAAACCATGCTGTGGTAGGTGTCCGACATATAAAGTAGAGGAAGATGGGCACGGATGTTAGCTCAGTGCCAGTCTTCCTCAGCAAAAAGAGGAGGATTGGTGGCTGATGTTAGCTCAGGAGCTAATCTTCCTCAAAAAAAAAAAAAAAGCAGCAAAAAGAGGGTACTTATTTAGTCTCTATAGGCAAATAGTTTTTGCCTAGGCAGTTCCTTTGAAAGAAACAAAGAGGAATTGATTCTGAGATTCTAAGTGATTTTACCTGGCTAGATGTCTTTTAATAAAAATCTGTAAGATAACTATGGTTTTCATAATTCGTAATTGTTTTCTTTTTTTTTTTTTTTTTTTTTTGAGGAAGATTAGCCCTGAGCTAACATCCATGCCCAGCTTCCTTTACTTTATATGTGGGACGCCTACCACAGCATGGCTTGATGAACGGTGCTTAGGTCTGCGCCTGGGATCTGAACAAGGGAACCCCAGGCCACCAAAGCCACGCAAGGGAACTTAACCCCTATGCTACCAGTCCAGCCCCAGTAACTGTTTTCCTGACATTATCAGCTGATGTTTAAAATATGGAGTTAGTCTGTGGTTTGTGATCCTCATTTGGCTGTTTATCTCAGCAGAATTAGGAGACTAACTTCTAATTTATTACCAGCGAGTTAGAAACTTTGATGTTGAATGCCCAAATGAACACAGAGCAAGATTCTGCCTTGTCGGGCCCCCCCTTGGCCGGGTGGTTAAGTTCGAGCACCCTGCTGAGGTGGCCCAGTGTTTTGCAAGTCCGAATCCTGGGCACGGACATAGCACCACTCATCGAGCCATGCTGAGGCGGCATTCCACATGCCACAACTAGATGGACCATAACTAAGAATATACAACTAGGTACTGGGGGGCTTTGGGGAGAAAAAGGAAAAAAATTAAATCTTAAAAAAAATTCTGCCTTCATATTGGACCTCCAAATTACAGAAATCTGTCCATTTAAACATAGCTACTTAAAATATTTTTATTATCAAATATTACATACATATATCAAAGTTGGAGATAGTATAACAAACACCATATGACCACCACACAACTTTATTAAATCTTAACATTTTGGTATTTTACTGCAGCTTTTAAAATTATTTTATTGTAGCAAAAAATACCTAATATAAAATTTACCATCTTACCACTTTTCAGTTCGGTAGTGTTACCTGTATTCACATTGTTGTGTAACAGATCACTAGAGCTTTTCCATCTTGCCAAACTGAAACTCTGTACCCATTGCAGAACCGCTCCCCATTTCTCCCTCCCCCCAGCCCCTGGTAACCACCATTCTACTTTCTGTTTTTATGATTTTGACCACTTTAGATACCTTCTATATGAGGAATCATACATATTTGTCTTTTTGTGACTGGCTTATTTCACTTAGCGTAATGTCTTCAAGGTTTATCTATGCGTGTCACAAAATTTCCTTCTTTTTAAGGCTGACTAATATTACATTGTGTATATACCACATTTCGTGTTATCCATTTATCTGTCTATGGATATTTGGGTTGCTTCCATCTCCTAGCTATTGTGAATAATTCTGCTATGAACATGGTGTACAAATATCTGCCTGAGGCCTACTTTCAAATCTTTTGGGTATATACCCAGAAGTTGAATTGCTGGATCACATGGTAATTCTATTTTTGATTTTTTGAGGAGCCACCATACTGTTTTCCATAGCACCTACACTATTTTATAGCACCTATCAACAATAAAAGCATTCATATATATCCTTGTATACATGTGTGAGGAAATATGCCTAGGAATATGCCTAGGAATAGAATATTGTGAGATGCATCTTAAACTTTACTAAACTTTGCCAAATTGCTCTCCAAGTGATTGCGCTAACTTACACTCCCGTGAGCAATGTAGGAGAATTCCCACAGTCCTGTATCCTCAGCTACACTTAATACTGTCGGACTTTGAAAATTTTGCCAATCTGATGGGAAGATTTGTTATAGAAAACAAGATTTCAAAGTCTCCTTTCGTTTATAAATATGAGCCAATTTGTTTTCAGATGGGATTTGACTATAGGAAGGGAGACATATTGAGGCAGATCTGACAATTTGGCAGATTTGGCCATGAGGGGTCCATTGGTGTGAGGCTCTGAGGAGCCTCTTGAGAAGAGGCGGTGAAATATGACTTGTAATTGGTAATGGAGGGGTGTGAGGGTATGAGTGAATGTTGGGTTAGCTCCTACAAACAACTTGCCTTTACAATTTTTGGTAATTTGTTTTTAATTTAAAAATTTGGCAATTATGTCAACTTTATCGAAAATTCTTTTAGGAACCTTAAGCAATGTGCTGCAGCGAAAAGAGCATGAGATTTGGAATCAAGTACAACTGTATCAGATTCCCAACTTGGTTTTACACCAACCCTATGACTGTATATATTTTACTTGACATTTTTAGCCTTTAGTTTTCCTATCTGTAAAGAAAAATTGTGGACCAGGTGTCATCCTACCTTGTCAAATTTGTTGAGTCTTTTTTTTTTCCTGCTTTATCTCCCCAAATCCCCTCTGGTACATAGTTGTATATCTTAGTTGCAGGTCCTTCTAGTTGTGGCATGTGGGACGCTGCCTCAATGTGGCCTGACGAGCGGTGCCATGTCCACGCCCAGGATCCGAACCAGCAAAACCCTGGACTGCCGTGGCAGAGCACGCGAACTTAACCGCTTGGCCACAGGGCCATCCCCATGTTGAGTCTTAAATCTAGGTAAATCACTTGGCCCTTAGTAGATGCTAAGCAAATGTCATTTGCTTCCCTTTCTCTTTGCCTTTTTACTTAGTTTCCTTTGCTTTTTACAGAGCTGCCTTTTGAAAAACTGGTATTTTCTTTTTTTCCAATACCTTTCTAGGGAGTTCTCAAATTTAGTCATATGTAATGTTATAATCCAATGTTACTGCCATAAAAAGAAAATTTAGTCAATGAACCAAGACACTGAGGCTTCCTGTATCAATTTCCCAACTTGTTAGAAAATTTTATTAGGTATCCAGAATGGACTAGGCATTAGTGACTATTATTTGTATGGATAAATAAATTAATTTTGTACCATTCCCTTAGACTTTAAGGAGTTATTCTTCATTTCTTTTTCTGATTACCATCAACTACTTCCCAGTTTGTTTTTTAGGGTCATAAACTTACTTTGAGATTTAAATGACATTTTAAACTTTTATTTATTGTGTTTAATATTTGCTGTCAAGGGAAATAACAGAATAGCTAGACAGTTTTAGCCATCTACTTTAGCTGTAGATGGTTTTACAAGTTGATATGTTGTTTTTGTTGGCTGTGTCACATTTGAAAATAGATTAGATTTGTTATGGGAGCTGTCTTG